TAACACGATGTGTGTTAGCTACGTCCACGGGCGAGAGAGAGCCGATTTCACTATATCGAGGAGATTACAGATTACAGAGGAGTATGAGAAGTATTTATAGTACTTCTCCATGTGGGTCTAAACCTAATCCAATCTAGCAAAGGACCCGATTACCAGTCGTAGCGGCTGATAGTCCGATTCAAGTCACATCAACAAATCTCCACCTTGACTTGAATCCTCTTCCTCTGAAATCTCTGATGTACTCTGCTCCTTCTATCTCTCTCCCACCATCAATGACCCGTAGGGCGGAGTCACCCACTCAAGACATTCAGCAAGTCCAAGCAGTGTTGGAACTTGCCATGTGGAACCGGCTTCGTGAACATATCAGCAGGATTATTCGCGGTGCCAACCTTCCTCACCTTAATCCTCTTCTCTGTCCTCAAGAAATGATACCTCACATCGATGTGCTTAGTCCTCTCATGGTGGACTTGATCCTTGGCCAAGCATATTGCACTCAAACTGTCGCAATACACCACTGCCTGATCATGATGTAGACCCAGATCACCAACCAGTCCCTTCAACCATATTCCCTCCTTAGCAGCTTCTGTCAACGCCATATACTCTGCCTCAGTAGTAGACAATGTCACCGCCGACTGCAAAGTTGCCTTCCAGCTCACTACAGAACTCCCAAGAGTGAATACATAATCGGTCATCGATCTCCTCGTGTCAACATCTCCAGCATAGTCCGAGTCAGGATACCCAGACACCAAGCACTCTGCATCACTTTCGAAGCTAATCCCCACATCAGGTGTACCCTTAAGGTACCGGAAGATCCTCTTCACAGCCTGCTAATGCTCCTTCCCAGGTTGTATCATAAACCTGCTGACAACACTAACAGCATGTGCAAGATCAGGTCTAGTGCATACCATAGCGTACATCAAGCTACCTACTGCACTAGCATATGGGACTCTCGACATGTACTCCTTCTCAGCCTCTGACTGTGGTGCATAAGCTGAGGATAGATGAACATTTGAAGCACTAGGAGTATTTAAGGGCTTTGCTGAAGACATGCCAAACCTCGACAATATCTTCTGGATGTAGCTCTTCTGTGACAAGAAAAGCTTCTTCTTCGACCTGTCCCTGTAAATCTCCATACCCAAGATCTTCTGAGCAGCTCCCAAATCCTTCATCTCAAACTCAGCACTGAGAAACCCCTTTAACTTCTGGATATCAGACTTTGACCTCGCAGCTATGAGCATATCATCCACATACAGAACTAGATATATCATCGAACCATCCTCTGCCTTGCTGTGATATACACAACAATCATATGGACTTCTGTTGTAGCCCAACTCAAGCATGTAACTGTCAAATCTCTTGTACCACTGCCTCGGAGATTGCTTAAGTCCATACAAGGACTTCTTCAGCTTACAAACATAGTCTTCTTTTCCCGGAACCTCGAATCCTTCTGGCTGAGTCATGTAAATTTCTTCTTCCAACTCTCCATGTAGGAAAGCTGTCTTCAGGTCTAGCTGCTCGAGCTCCAAGTCATAATGTGCCACTATTGCTAGTAGCACTCTGATCGAAGTATGTCTGACCACTGGTGAGAAAATCTCATTGTAGTCAACTCCTTCCCTCTGCGAGAAGCCTCGTGCAACCACCCGAGCTTTAAATTTCATGCCCTCTTTAGAAGTGATTCCTTCCTTCTTCTTGTAGATCCACTTGTTTGTAACAATCTTCCTTCTCTGTGGTCGTTTGACTAGCTCCCAAGTCTGATTCCTGTCATGGGATTCCATCTCATCTCCCATTGCGGCAAGCCACTGATCAGCTTCACCACCCGAAACTGCTTCTCTATAGGACTGTGGCTCTCCTGCATCGACTTCTTCAGCAACCTGAAATGAATACGCCACCATGTCCTCGAAGCCATACCTCTGTGGAGGTACTCCTGCAGTCGCTCTCTTCGGTCTACCGGAAGCAATAGACTGTTTAGCTCGAGCACTGGACTCTGAAGTTTCTGGCTCTGCAGAGACATCCTCATCATGTTGATCTTCTCCACCTTGGTGCTCAAACTCACTCTCATTGAGAGTTTGCAGCTCCACCTGCTTATCAACATTCCTGCTACCTTCAGCAACAGTAACCTTCAACATGGGGTTAAACATAGACTTCTCATCAAATATCACATTTCTACTAAGTATAACTCGATACTCAAAAGGTGTCCAGACTCGAAATCTCTTAACTCCATCTCCGTAACCCACAAATACACCCTTCTTTGCCCTTGGGTTCAATTTACCCTCATCCACGTGATAATAAACAGGACACCAAAAAACTTTCAGTGAAGAGTAATCAGCAGGCTTACCATACCACACTTCATAAGGAGTCTTACACTCGATACCTGTGTGTGGTCCACGGTTGATAAGGAAGCACGCCATGTTTACTGCTTCTGCCCAGAATCTTCTCTCTAGTCCAGCATTAGAGAGCATGCACCGTGCTCTCTCCAACAATGTCTGGTTCATCCTTTCTGCAACGCCATTCTGCTGGGGTGTATCTCTAACAGTCCGATGACGGGCAATCCCTTCATCCTTGCAGAATTCGTTGAACTCAGAATTACAGAACTCCAGACCATTGTCCGTTCGCAGCTTCTTGATCTTCTTACCGGTCTGATTCTCCACCAATGTCTTCCACTGCTTGAACTTCGTGAAAGCCTCACTTTTCTGCTTCATCATGAAAATCCAAGTAAATCTCGAATAATCATCAATAATAGACAGAAAATACCTGCTGCCTCCAATGGATTCAACTCGTGAAGGACCCCAACAGTCGGAGTGGAGGTAATCCAGTATCCCCTTCGTCCGGTGGATACCCTTCTTGGGAAACTTGCTGCGATGTAGCTTCCCAAACACACAATGCTCACAGAATTCCAAATTCCGCACCTTGTATCCCTCTTCGATAGAACTTGCATCCCCCGTTCACTCATATGCCCCAGTCTCATGTGCCAGAGAGTGGTCATATCTTCCTGTTGAACCTGAGACGATGCAACTGCAACAGAACCAGACAACACAGACCCTTGTAATGCATACAAGGTCCCACGCTTCACGCCCTTCAGTACCTCCCTCGAACCCTTGCAGACATACACAACTCCACCTTTTCCTTTGAAGCTGAAACCCTTGCTGTCGAGTAGACTCAAGGAGATCAGGTTCTTTGTCATTCGTGGAACATGCCTGACATCATTCACGGTACAGAACGAACCATCATGTGTCCGAACCTTTATGGACCCGATTCCAACAACCTTACAGACAGCTCCATTTGCCATGACCACGTTACCACCATCTATCTGCTCGTAGGTTGTGAAGCAATCCCTGTTCGGAGACATATGGTATGAGGCTGCAGTATCCAGAAACCACACATCACCACGATGTGCCTTCTCATCTACAGCCAAGGCGAGATCGTCTTCAGAATTGTTGTCCACTTCTGCCATGGCAACTGAACCTTGTTTCTTCTGTTGCCCTCTTCTCTTGGGACAGTTGTACTTCCAATGCCCCACTTCCTTACAGTTGTGACAAGCATCACCTGGCTGTGGACCGGGACCCTTGGAATTGTTGCTCGAATTCCCTTTACCAGATTTCTTCTTTCCCTTTCCACCTGTAACAGCCAAACCCGATGCCTCACCACCTGTACCAGATCCGGACGCCTTATGTCTGATCTCTCTCGTATGAAGAGCAGACCTGACATCCTCCAACGACACGCTTTCTTTACCAGCAATAAAAGAATCAACGAAATTCTCATATGAACTCGGCAAAGAAACCAGCAGGATTAGGGCAGCATCCTCGTCATCAACTTGAACATCTATATTACGCAGATCCAGCAAAATAGAGTTAAGTTGTTCGAGATGTTCCCTCAAAGGCGTACCTTCTTGCATCCTCAAGCTGAACAACCGTTGCTTGAGATTCAGCTTGTTGGTTAGAGACTTAGTCATGTACAGACTCTCTAGTTTCAACCACAAGCCCGCGACAGTCTTCTCAGCAGCGACTTCAATGATGACGTCATCAGACAACGATAGCATGATGGTCGAGTGGGTCTTCTCCTCCAGGGTATTCCACTCATCGTCATCGACCGCTGCCTTCTTCTGTTTCGCAGACAGCGGCCCCCACAGCCCTTGTTGTTTTAATAAAGCCTGCATCTTGATCTGCCATATAGCGAAGCTGTTCTTCTTACAGATTACTGAGGAGTATGAGAAGTATTTATAGTTCTTCTCCATGTGGGTCTAAACCTAATCCAATCTAGCAAAGGACCCGATTACCAGTCGTAGCGGCTGATAGTCCGATTCAAGTCACATCAACAGTCCGGGCCGCGCACCAAATTATCGCTGGGGGCGGGATGTGGATCGAACATCTCCGCCCAGTCCAACACCGTGTATTGAGCGTTGATGAAGCGCGGCCCCAACTGACTCATGGCCGCCGAAACGCGAGGAATGGCGACGGGACTCATCTCGCGAGGCGGAAGACGACGGAACACCGTCGGCGACGCCTCGACGGATGATCAGCACTCCCCTATATGAGCGAATCGACGAGTTTGATTTTGTTAATTCATAGGATTGTTAAATTTTATATATATCAACCTATATGAAGTTTAACACGTAGATTATGTGAGAAAATATGTCTAATTTAATTTTCTAAAGCAATTATGTATCATATAAATTGCTTCGATATTGTGAAATAACATAATTTTCACTAGTTAAAATTTATTAACTTAATAATTTGATACCATAAAGTTTAATATGAGATTAGTTAATATTTAACACTTAGCTGTTGTTTTGTTTTCATCTTTATATTAATCACATGTATCATGTATGACATGTAGAATGAATATATAAATACGAGTCAAAATTAATAAGCAAACTAGGAAGGTAAAATTCGGCTCGACTCGGCTCGTTTGCGGCCTCCCCGGCTTAGATCAATAATCTAGATCAATAATCTAACCATATGGTTTGTAATTTCAGTTTGTTTGTGGGTAGAAATAAAGAGAAGAAAAGGATCTAGGGAGGGCAGGGCACAAAGGCCCCCGTGGGCCGTGTCCTCTGGACTGGACCTCACAGACAGAGGCGCCCGTGTGACAGGAGATGGACGGTTGGATGTGGAGAAGGTGCGTTTTTTTTCTTCTTCTTTCTGATATTGTTGGCATTGGAGTGGAAAATGGAAATCATAAGATTATGGATGGATGGAGTGAGAAAGAGAGGGATGAATAAGCCAGTCAGTCTGTGTTATGACTCTGACAAAGGAGAGAGGGGCAGCAGGCAACAACAGTAGTCTATTTCATATTCATTCAGGAAGAGGGCATTCATTCATTCACAGATCCATGTCATGGGTTATGATAATGAATCTATTGGATTTATCTCTTCTGTTTGTGTTCTGTCTGTCATCTCTGCTCCTGCTGCTACTGGGTCTTCTGACTCTGCTGCTGCTGCTGCTGCTGTCTTGAATGTAAATTTTGATGATTCAGTGAAGTGCTGTGTAGTTTCAGGCAAGGAAGGGAGGAAAAAGCAAAGAAATGGCAGCTTTTCCCCCCACTTTTTCTCCTCCACCAAGTCAAGTCTGGACTGGAACGTGTTCAGAACAGGAAGAGCAGAGCAGAGCAGAGCAGGTGGTGGAGTTTGCAGACATAAAGCCACTTTCCCTTCCACCCCACACTTTCTCTTTCATTTACCCGACTCCCCCCAAATTCATGTTGAGGAACGTTTTGGTCCTTTAACTAGGTTTTTGCGACATTCCAGTCCTACAAGGTAAAGTAAATATCAACGGACTCTGATCCATGGAGACTCGAGAGTAAGAATTCTGAAAGATCATGTGAAAATTGAAATATCATTGTCACGCTATATTAAATTTTACTTCTCACCTTGTTTGTTTAATGTGCAAATTTCTCAGTGCAACTGTACTCATCCATATGCGAGGTTGACAACATCTCAGAATTTATGCTAATTAATTCAAGTTGCATTATTGACCCTCTCAACTTGTAACTTGACGCGATGATGTCATTTTTAATTTCTTAGGATAATTTGAAGTAAAGTTAACTTGAATTTTTTTTTTATCTGTTGCAGTAGGTTTCACAGGTAGTGTTACGTAAAATACGATAGGTATTACGTAAGGTTACGTAACGTATGGTAATCTTATGTAACAGTTAGAAAATTCCATTACGGAAGCCTTACGTAATGGACGGTTATTTTACACAATGAATACCAACACTGCATTACGTAAAGTGTAAAGTCATTACGGAAGCTTTACGTAATGCTTCTGATTTAACTGTTACATAATAAATAAATGTCGTTCTTAACCTTTACGTAATTCAATGTTCTTTTACGCAATGGGTATTAACCTCGTGTTACGTAAAGTGTTAAGTCATTACGGAAGACTTACGTAACGCTTGTGATTTAAGTGTAACGTACAAAATAACTACCGTTTCATAACCTTTATGTAATGGATGTGAACTTTACGTAACAGTTGTAAAATTTCATTACGGAAACATTACGTAATGGAAGGTCCCTTTTACGTAATGAGTATTAACCTCGCATTACGTAAAGTGCCAAGTCATTACGGAAGCCTTACGTAATGCTTGTGATTTAACTGTTAAGTAAGAAATAACTATCATTTCGTAACCTTTACATAATAGATGTGTACTTTACGTAATATTTGTAAAAGGACATTACGGAAGTCTTACGATATGGAAGGTTATTTTACGTCATGAGTATTGCCCTTGCGTTACGTAATCTTTATGTTATTACGAAAACTTTACATAACACTTCCAATTTAATTGTTACGTGAGATATAATTGTTGTTTAAGTAACCTTTAGATAATATTTTTTTTTTTACTTTTTTACATAACAGTTGTAACATGATGCCTTACGTAAAATGAACACCCAAAATCATTGAAGACAAAAATGAAAAAAAAAAATATGGAAAAGGTAGAATGGAAGCTGGAACCAAAGGTGGAAATAAAATATATAAACGGAACTTCAGAAGAAATAAACGGAAGCTAGCGAGAGAGTGACTAAATGTGATATGTTTCAGTAATTCGAGTAACCAAAATTGATATTAATTCTAGTGGCTAAACATGACATGATTTAGTAATCTCAATGACCAAATGTGGCATTTGCCCAATACCCGGCATTGCCGGTACCCATTCATCATTTTTTTTTAATCAACGACTCAAAATGATCTTAATCTAATTTAATGGTCTAGATATATATAAGTTATCTAACTTGAAATTATATGCAATTTACTGTAGGAGATCCCTGTCATTTTTATCTCCTTAACTACACATTATGTAACATCCGTATTAGTTTGTAACTGAGCAACGTTGTGTGATACCCGATCTTGTATCCGGACAACACAAACCTCACCAGATCGATAGCACATTGGAGATATTCTGGCGAGAAGACGATGCTAACGTCAATGCTATTGCTTAACGTTTCACTCGCCAAACCTAATAGTACTATAATAGTAATAGCTAAGCTAAGGGTAAAAAAAGAAACCTGGCGAGGGCCATAAAACACCAAGACCTGAAACCACACGTACATGGTTTTAATGGCCGGCACCAATATGCGTACTGTTATCAAGGACGAACGGACGGTCGAAGCCATCAGTGCAAGGAAGGAAGGAAGCGTGCGTCTGGGGATCTAACAGAGCCAGCAATTCAAACATTTTTACAAATAAAAGCTGCGTTTGCATAATTGCATGCCTAAACTTGTTAACCATAGAAACACACGCAGTTGACTCATAGTGTTAGGACTTGGTGGGGGGAATTCGGATGATAAACATTAGGTGTACTTTAACAATCAATTCTAAGTTTATTATTAACCGAAGTTCTATTATTGTTAATTAAAATATCTAACATGTCATCGATTCGCATTATATAAATGTTACTTTCTAAAATTTAGTTTTGTTATTAACTAAAATTCCATTATTTTCAATTATAATATTTAATATTTCATCAATTCGCATTGGTAACAACCAATTCTACGGTACGGTAAAACCAATTTAACGATAAGTTTTTTTCTCCTAAATAATATGAATTATTTCTTTATTATTAACAAAATTTAATTATTGTCAATTAAAATATTTAACAAGTCATTATTCCGGGTAAAACCATTCCGAGCCTACTGTAATTCGATACGAAAAAAAAAACCAAACAAAAGTGCAGTTCCGCTCAAACTAGATCATGTATTTGGTGCTTTGAATTCGGTTTTGACCTGGTTTGTTTTTATTTTGACCGAACCGATCGAATGTCAATCCATAAATTGTATATCTCCTCAACCGTCATATAAAATGAAGATGCCACCACATTCACTCAACGACTACGCCACTATGAGGCATCTACTCCCAATATGACAATCACGAAATCTTATAAGTACGTTCTCGCATATATCTCGCGAACATTTTAGCAAAATTGACAATAATAATAATAATAATAATAATAATAATAATAATAATAATAATAATAATAATAATAAAATTGGAATCAAAGCTAAACGGCCAAAAACAAACCCATCAAGTAGGGGTGTACATGGGTCGGTTGGTTCGGGTTTAAGTATTTTAATCACCCGACCCATACACTACGGTTTGGGAATTGTCAAACCCAAACCCACCCAAAAAAATTTAAACCCTACGGTTTGTTTCTAATTGGGTTGGGTCGGGTTGGCGATATTTTTAAGTAAAAACCCAACCCAACATAAAATATATAATTATTATACACCATAAAAATATTTTATAACTAATTAAAATTTCAAACAAATAAACCGATGTGAAATGTATCAAAATTCACAAATGTTGTTTGAGTTTTAATAAAATGAGATTTACTTCAACATATGCCTAGTGTTTTTCACGATATTTGTTGAAATAGGCTAAAAAGGTTATAAACAAATGCATCCATAATATGTTATTCTATTAAAATTGTATACAACAAAAATGATTACGTGAATCATAATTATATTCAATTTATGTCTAAACTTTAAGTCGAAGAATGCATTAGATTAGGGAGACCATGATAGAAAAACATGGCGAAATATCTTAATTTTCACATAAGTATGGCTATATACGACATAAATATTTTTTAGATACGAACTCATACTAATAGTTGGAACACGGGTTGGGTCGGGTTCTACGGGTTGTGTAATCTAAAATCCAAACCCAACCCAAAAGAGGCGGGTTGCACAAAAGAAAATCGTCACCCAACCCAAAACCTTCGTTTTAACGATAAATACGGGTGGGTTGGATCGGGTTGGACGGGTGGGTCGGTTTGCGGGTGTGTTTGTTCACCCCTACCATCAAGTGCTCCCTCGATCTCCTTCGTCAAAGACAAATTTACAGACAGCCCATCATTACCACCATTTACTTCTTACATTTTTACCACAACACACCTCTCACCACCTTTCTTGTTAGTCGCAATAAACAAACAAACCAACATAGTACAGATTTGGTCTGTCATTCAATCCATCTATCCATGTTAATTCTTTGAATGTGCTCCAACTAAAACATCGACAAAAACACAAGTGAAAGACAAACAGACACATAGGATCCTCTTTCAATCCCCACATCACATAATTTTGTGGGCAAATTACATTGATTCTGAAAGATACAGCCAACAGCTACATCTCCAATAGTTCCAAGATGAGTAATATCGTCAGCGACGAATCTAAATTTTAGATTTAGAATCAGGTCTTCATTTTCAAGTCCGAATTTAAATTTGAAAACGATAGAGATCTAGGTCGTCATCTTACCGTTTTGGTGATATACATACACTAGAACATCGGACTACATGTTAGATGTTACAATTCTTCCCCTCGTGAACTAAACCTAGCTCCATTCCGACTCTAGATATTTGTTGTCTAAGATCAGACCTAACAAGTAACAACCCAAAATACTGTTGTTTCCACCACAACCACCAGCTGAAACCCAAGTACAAGGAAAAAGTTAAAAGAAAAGAAAGCTCCAACCACCTGCAAGAAAAGGTAAAAGACGGAAGGAAAAGTTTATCAGTTCCATACACAAAACAAGAATAAAATTAAACTGTAATAACCAGTAGTTTCCACGGCAGTAAAAATTAGTTTACCCATGAGGATTAGTGTTAATTAATTAATTAATTAATGATGCTGATGGGTTCTGGAGTTGAAGATTGGGAAGTCGAGCGAAGATGAACTGGGGATGGAGATGGATAGCCTGGTGCTGCTGTCCAAATCAAGCCACGACGGCGGCTGATCCTTGTTGTTCTTCGGCGGCCCTTCATCGAAGAATCGATGGACCGTCGTCTTTTGGGTTTCTTCTCCTCCTCTGAACCTCATGGTTTGAGCCTTGCCGTCGACAAGGTAGCTGTTATTACTCTGCTTGGTGGAATAACTCTCCTCGCTCAGGTTGCTCTGAAGCTGGAGATACGAGTAATCGCTCTGTAACCCGGACGAGCTCCTCTGTTTTGAAGACGATGATGAAGAGGAAGACGATGACGAGGAGTTGATGCCCAGTGGGCTCAGCCGCCATGGGTCGTCCGAAGAACTTCTCATCGACCCAGATGTTTCTGAGAAGAATGCGCGCTCGTGGTCAGCGTCTTCTTTCAACCCGTAAATGCTCCGGCTCCTAGTTCAAAAACGAGAATCAGGTTAATAAATAGCAGGGGATGGGGGTGAACACTAGGTGTTTGATGTAATGCCTGAACGAACCTGAAATCCGCTGCAGTGAGGGAACAGTACCCAGCAGAGTCGAGAAGCAAGCTGGTGGAGTCGGGCGGGCGGTGCCGAGCAGCGACAGATGGATGAGACGAAGAAAGGAGGTGATTGTGGTTGTAAGTGGAAAGAGGATGTGGGTAATGGGATTGCTGAAGATGATGATCATGGTGGTGGTCATCAGCAGCCGTGGAAGAAGAGAACAAGGAGAGGGAGGTGTGAGTGTAAGGAGAGGAATGGTTGGCGAGTTTTGGCGATGGTGATGATGATGAGTTGTTGTTGGTGGTGGTGGTGATTGATAGGGTCGTAGTAGCAACTTCCACAGGCTTTCTTGAACGGTTTTTACCTCTGTGCATGTGTCTCTCGCAGTACTTGGAATCTGGGTAAGCCTCTTTCGAGCACCTCCATTTCTTGCCGTCGGTTCTTCTGCATCTCCCTGGCTCCGGGTCTATTTTCCTCCCCAAACCCAACTGGAAGCAGCTCCATCCAACTGCGCAGTGTGTTCAACATGTTATACTATACAATAAAAAGTTATCTTTTCTCTTGGAGGAAGCAAGAAAGTGGAGAATTGATAGAAGGGGATGTTATGTAATGGGGGGCTCACCGTGGGGAGATTGGGAAGGGAAGAGCTCGGAGGAGAGAAGTGGGGAGTCGAAGCTGCTGCAGGGAGAGGAGGAAGAAGAGCTTCTTTTGACGGTGAAGAGGAGATCAGGTGGGATAGGGAGTCCTGACACCAAGTATTTGAAGACTAATGCTTGATGCTCCAGCTCTTGCCATTGAGTTGCAGTGAAGGGGAACCTGCTGCTTCTTCCACTCATCATGCCCCGCGCAGCAAAGCAGCAAGAACACCAGAGAAGAAGAAGAAGAAGAAGAAGAATATTTGGGGGGAGCAATTGACACTACTCAATGCAGAAAATGGAAATGGGTTTTGGTGTTTGATTTAAGATTCCCTTTTTGATTGATAGTAAGAACTTAAAAGGCTGAAAGAAGAAGAAGAAGAGTAGGAGAAGGAGAAGAGCAAGGTAGAGTAGGGATATTTATTTCAGGGACCATTTGGGTTTTGCAGAATCTTTTGTGTGATTGAAGGGAGGAAGGTAAAAGGGAAAAAGGAAGAAGGAAAGCAGACTAGCAGAAGGAAATAGAAAGATTAGAAACTAATGCTGCTGCTGCTGTTGATTGATAATGGTGGAGGTGGTGCAGCTGCCTGCCTGACATAATGTAATGGTGCAGAGCAGAGAGAGAGAGGGTGTGGGGACTGTGGCCATATTATGACTGCCTGGCCTGCTGCAGGCTGCTGGGTTGGGTAGCAGAGCTGCCTGTTTTTGGCAGCTCTTTGTCTCTGACAACTCTGCGGAAACCCATAAAACTTGAAAACTCAAACAAGAGAGTGCATTAAGTAAAGACACTGTGAAAAGAGAAAGAGGAAGAAAGGAAAAGTTGGTGGGTTGTGTAGGGTTTGGACTTTGGAGTTGTGTGTGTGGGTGTCTGAACTGAAAGCCAATGCAATGCAGTACCTGGCCCTCCCTATCTATCCCTCTCTACAGCCATCTGCACACCTGCACCTGCACCACCTGACACACTCTCTCTCTCTCAGAAGATTGTACGGTTCAGAGCTTTTACTGCTGCCCTCTGAACTCTTTAACTTTCTTTTTTGCTGTTCCTTTGCCTCATTCATTTGCTGCTACCTTCCCCACTTGCTATTTTGACCCAACTTTACTCACTCCCTCTGCTGGCATTAGGACATTTTTCCACGAAAATGTTACAATTGCCTAGTTAAAAGTTAAAACTGATAGGCATGATTTTATAATAGTTATATGTATAATAATCTATATATAATTAAATTTGTTTGAAACCTATATGTATCTAATGGGTAAATAACAAGGTTGGTCACTGAGACTACTAAAACAATTCATGTTTGGTCACTAAAAATATTTATTCCATTCGTGGTCACTAAATTTAGTAAAACATGTCCTGTTCCGTCACTCTCCGTCCAACTCCGTAACTTTGTCTGAATAAGTAATGTTGATTTTAATTAGATTTAAATAAGTAATGTTGATTTTTTTCTAACTTATAATCTTAAAATCACAACCCAAATATCATTTGTTGAAATAATACATATCGAGTTGCAATATTGAATATGAGGAAGCGATATACAGTTCTGAATTGGTAATGATTTTTATAGGTTGGAAATTGACGTGGGCCATACAGACTCCTCCTAAATTGATGTTTTCTATGGCAGTGCGTTAGAGTAGTCTTACCGACAACGGTAGCGCTAAGATCTCGTGGGGTTAATTGTCTAAGGCGATGCATTGTTTGTTGGGGGAACCGAGAGAGTATAGAACATTTGTTCATTCATTACCCCCTTGCCAACATGTTACGGTACTATGTAGGATTAAGTGACATACTGGTTTTGGCCCCAATAATGAATTTTAGTGGATGGTAGCGTCAAGTTATGCTATCATAGCACTCACAAACCCATATTCTCCAAGTATGTTCCCAACACTGGTTTGCCTCATGTGGAGAATACGTAAATCAATAAATAAAGTGGTATTTGATAATACCCAACCTCGTGTCTGTTCGCTTGCCAGCCAGTTCTCCTCTCAAGTACATAAAGTGCTCTCCTCCTTGCCGTCTGCCCCTTCTGTTCATCCTCGTGTACCTGCCTCATCAAGCCAGCACTAGGAATGCCCTCCTCAAGATTATCTGAAGGTCATTTTTTATGTTGTTGTCCAAGCCTCTATTTGCTCGCCTGACATTGTGGTTCGTGGCTCGGATGGCCATGTGTTGTTTGCCTCGGGTTTTCAGCATTAGGGGATCTCGGACACATACCTTGCATATCTCCTTGCAGCTCGGGATGCGATCTTGCTTGCATCATCTAGGAGTTTGCCTCGTGTCATCATTGGGGGCGATGCAGTAGTAGTAATTCGTCAACTTAGCATTGGAGCAGTGGAGGATTCCGTTGGTGGCCCTCTCCTTCGAGATTGAATGCTTATTCTTGGGTCTTTGTCTCATTGTATAGATTTTAGGAAGGTTCCAGGGACTTCCAACTAGACTGCACATAGAGCGGCACATAAAGCCCTGTTGCTGTCTCGGTTAGAGTTAGGTTCTTTTGACTTTCTAGGTTGGTTTGTTAGTGGAGTGGGGGCGAAGTGTGAGTAGTGCTTGTTCTAACTATCTTTTTGATCTTACTCAGACTAAAAAAAATATCAACCTATGCATTGTGAAGTAAATGCAATTAGTATTTTATGTATTGCATGACAAACAGTTAATTTTTTAATGCATGGAATACAATAATTGATTATTTAATCTATTTTTTCTTGAAACCCTTTAATAAGTATCATAGGTTGAAACAATTCAAGTCATGCTCTATGTTGGGTATCCTACTCAAATGGATTGTTCAATTTCATCTTCATGAAACCCTCTTTTGTTGTTTCGCGCGTTATTCAAACGAATTATAATAGAAACCTAAGGTCTTTGTCCATTTTGCATAACCAATTGATTTATTTGTTTAATGAATTTTAGTAAGTCGCTCTATAATGATGATTCTTTCGATCATATTTTCCTGTTAGCCATGTCTTTCAAAAAGATTTGGCGCCGTAAGCTTCTTCAAGTGTACTGCAATATTACGCGTCAAATGAGAGATTTTAATTTTCATCAACATCTTTATCTATATGTATTGTTTCCAGATCGCCGATTAATTCTCAATGAAGGCTTCTTTTTCCGCTGCCCCATGGATGACATTAAAAGAATACAATTCCATAACAACAATTTTTTAGATGATTTCATTTGTTTACATTTTTTTTTTTAACTTATAGAGTAATTGACCATATGTATAATTTAGAATTACTTAGTCTAATATGAACTAACTACATCAAAAGAAAAATCATGAAGTAGGACCAGAGTTTTCATGAATGCATTGATGTAATTATATGCATTAACACAGTAACTACCACAATAGAAGTTTATTTATATCTGTTGAAGGACTAAAATTGTTCTTCAATTAAATTTTGAGTATGTTGGTTGACAAACATTTTTTTTATGGTATGAAGTAAGGATGGAGAAAGTTATTTTCCTGTTGTTATTGCATTTTTTGTGGAACTAACATTTTGTTACAGTTCAAAGATACAGTAAACGCGGGAGAAAGAAAGGAAAGAGTCCATTTTGCTGCAATTGTTCGTTAGTGGGTGAACTGTAGAAATCATACCGTCTTCTTGTTCTAAATAGTTATTTGTGGCAGCAGAAGATATTGATAACTCAGGGCCGTACCATTTCGCCAGTTTCTGCTTCAGAAATGCGAATTCATTAGATTCCCCCAAAAAGTACAGAGACCTTAAAACTGCTCTTGTACAGGGACTGCACCTAACCATCCAACTTACACCAAAGGTTTCAACTCCCAGCACCCAAAAGGCAAACAGAACTATTCCAGCAAGCCACAGCATTAAAATCTGATGCAGCGAATTCAGGCAGCTCAGACCGGTTTTACGGAACAATTCTCTTAAGCAGCAGCTCAGAGCTGGTATGCATTCACCATAACAAAGAGATAACATACATTATCATTACAGATTTCCCTTCTTTAGCTTTCCTTCTGTAATCTTATCAAAACCATACGATCCCATTTAAGCTTTACCTCTATCCTACCAAATTTTAACCTCCCCTGGCCATTTCCTGTTGGCTGCTACCAACTTGGCGGGAGTTCCCTACAAATGGGCCAGCGAACTGGAGAAACATGCCACATAATCTCTGACTTGGTTTTATACTAATCCTTCTGAAAGAAAGAAAGAGCGAGATCCGTATGTACAGAGAAGAGCTGTGTGTCCACAAAAAGCTGTGTTGTAGACCAAAAAGAAACATTGTTAGCAACACATTAAGCAAGTTTGGGGGTATTGATGTGCTGGGAAATCAAAAGTTGTAGACAGTTTCTGAGTACGAACCTTCATAAATGGCCGATCACGGCTTGGAAATGAGTCTATAAAACTCTCCTTTAAGAGCAAGGAAACCTAGAAGCAAAAAAAAAAGGAAAAAGGAAAAAACAAACATGTCAAGGGAAGAATCAATTTACCCCATTCTAACATTAGCCACTTCATTCATGGAGTTGTGGCTGTGACCACGCAACAGTGGATTACAAATAAAGTCAACTCCAAAGATGCGCCAAGCTTTATAGTCCTTTTGGCTCCAAATACGTAGACAGGATACTGCTATTGCTGTACTAATGTTTGGATACTTGGACAGCAGATTTACTGTAGTTCCATTACATTTGACAAGAGAATTTGAACCCTGCTTCTTTATCACTTGAGGATAAGTCTAAATATAAATAGTAACCTAGGAACCATTTTTTCCCCCAGGAATACATAAAATCACACCAATGGTGTGATAACAGCTGGGAAAATGAGCAGACAAACCAAGCGACATTTTATGGATAGAAAGGTGCACCTTGTCATTGTTCGATTGAACATTCGTAATCGTGTGCGAACGAAGGTTGGAACAAAGATTGTCCAAGTAAGATCTAAGTACTCGCAGGAAGCCCTTGGCAGCTTCAACCTGTAATGGCACAGAGCAGAAACAACACGAATATTTACACAAGTCGTAGGTGAAATTTGTGGAGTGAGTGTAAAGAAACACATAGACAAACCTCAACGTAATCAAAGGCATAATCAGCTAAATATAAGCTACCCATGACTGATACATGCAATATCTACTTATCATGGAAGGTAGGGAGGGGGAAAGGCTTGCTGGAGAGTACAGAATGATTCATTGAATTTAGATATGAGTGAGTTTAAATACTACTCTGCCTGGTCTTTCAGGCTCGGCTTATATCATTGCAGCTCAGATTGAGATATGGACAAACTAAAAACACAGCTTACCCGCTATGAATAAGAATGGCCAATGATATTTAGAGACAGTCTACAAACACTAAATCAAAGTGTAATATATCCAACTAAAAATCTACTGTTTAGTTACAGGGCCTTAAAACAGGACATGTGTAGTCAAGACACACTTCTTGCAATAATCATGGTTATCCTGGTTTTTAAATGAAATGTTAATTAGACCATTTGTCCCCTACAGTAGATGCAACAAACCTGGAAGCATAGTCATATCCAATTGTGCTTGTAAAACAGTATTTGGGACTGGGAACTAATCCTTTCTAGGCCAGAAGAGAAGGTTTAGAGAATTTAGGGAGGATTGTCCTCAACATTTCTCTTCCACTTGTGACATTATGGGAGTGAAGGTGAGAACAATGTGCTTAATATGGTTTTAAAGATTAGAATTTTGATGGAACATGATATATCTTTTGGAAATGGAAAAAATAACTAATGAGATGTTGGGTAGTTTGTTTGTTAATCATAAACTTTTGAGTATATATACTTATTTAAATGAGTAAAGTTGGACTGCATTGTTAGTGAGATAGTTGTTAGCTTTCAATGATTCAAATAATCCATGAATAGTTTTCCTAAAAATTTAGATTGTACAAATTTTGCCCACTTACATAACTGCAAATAAACACACCCCAAGAGGATTACCCTAAGCTCATTCACGAGGAACAAGGGACCCTGTGACTACGTAGACATTTACCAGCAAATTAACCAAGCAGGAATAACACAAGGCAGGGGAGCAAAAAGAAGATTAGAGAGAAAACAATCTGAATTTGTTAAACGGTAGGCCACACTTCACCTGCTCATCTGTGCACTCGTACACTGGTCTTCTCCTTGCCGAAAAGCTTAGTCCCACGAGCTTTGCATGATATGAACTCAAGGATGAAAACAACTCTCTGTGTTTCGGTAGTTGAGGTATTCCAGGTGATTTAACCTACAGCACGATTTCCATATTTAGGGAAATAGATACAGGATAAAATCCAGAAAGTTTGTGCAGCCAAAAGGCAGAAAAAAGAAATGCAACCTGGTTCCTGTTGATATCAACCACAACAGTATTAGTTAACTTCGACTGTACTTCAATGGTTTTGTTCTTTACACCAACCTGCATAAAACATCTAAATCATTAATGAAACCAAGGATGAAATCAGACGGTAACAGGAGAAGTGATCTTAAAGGGTAATTGATGCGCAAGATGAGACTGAAAGCTGAACACTTACTATGTAAGGAACAGGAGCATCCAAGAAGTCTAGCATGTCATCTGGCAAAATCTGCAGGGCAGAAGTGACAATTAGATCCCCCAACAAACCTCAAGAAGACAAGAAAGGTCTATTGCACAACCTTCACAATCCAGAAAGATATATTACCGGCATCAGTAGGCTTTGCCATTGGTAAGGACGAATCAGCGGAATAATTGACAAAACTGAAGCAGACAGAATTCCCTGTATAACAAAGCACTTAAACAAATTAAACTACAAAGTTGTATTCTAGCTATGTTGATTAATAAAATTCAATAATACTTGCGAAAACCATGATTTAGGAGGTCACAGTCCAGCAATTAACCAATAACAGGTCCTATTTAACAGTATGCAAATGTTCATGTCCATGTATACGCATTTTACAAGGATAACTGAAAATCCAAGCACATGTGTACATGTTTATATTTGACAAGGCTATATACTCTACAAAGATGACATGTTTGATAAACTAGAACCCAAAAGTTCATTAATAACTCCAAAATCAAAATCAGAGATCAGAAGCAAGTGAAGTTGACATGTTACCTACCAAATTGGAACAAACTAACACGATCTGCTTCTCCAGTAGTGCTCCTGCAAATAATGTTAAAACCTGCACAGATAGATAATTATGCCACAGTATTGTTGTGAGCTAGAGAGGAAGTCAAACTTTGCATGCTATCAAGCACCGCTGACACATAGAGGAAAAGATCCAATCAGTGGATGGAACTAAACCGGAATTAAACCAGACGAAACTAATGGCTAATGAACAAACGAGACATCATTCTAGATTTCATGTTGTGGACAAAATTAACATAGATTTTGAGCAAGCAAAACTCAAGTCATACATGTTCAAGTCGTAAGGCTCCACATATGCATGCTATCGTCCATGTTGACAATGCTGTTGCTTCCTCCTCTACCAAGAGTGCACCGCAGGCCTAATGGGGAAAAAACAGCAAGATAATGATACAACTGATGGCTTACAATAACTTAAACCTCATAACTGGAAGACATTACTCGTAGCATAAAGTGTCTAAATGAATAATGATAAGTAATCAAGCCCTTTGAGTATACACTTTACCTCAGCAAATTCAAGGCTGGAACTGCAAGATCTCAAATCAATAGTTGAGCCAGCAATACGCAGAATTGTCTCATCTGGTCTATGAAATTCCAAGGGATGAAGATGCTCCAAGGGATGAAATTTTATTGCTGAACCCCTGTAGGGATTATGCAGATGGTAATACTCACAAAGTATCTGTAATGAGCCATGGTTGTTCTCCTGTAAAATGAGAAGCAGAGATTTGGTGTTGAGAAAAGACACAAAAACTAACAGCCGTAACCAACAATAGAAAGGGCAACACCACAACCCAGAAGGGTGGACGTGCATGGATGAATGTTGATTGTGATTCCTGCTATGAAGAGCAGTCACAAACCTTGGCCCATTCAAGAATGTGAAGGTGATCAGTTGACTCTTCCTGGCCAGAAAAAGAAGCCTCTTCGGTTTCAGTATCGTCAATATCACTCCGAAAATTCCGGTCTTCACTGGGAGAACCCTGGAAGCTGCAAATCAGGCATTTTCAGTCAGCTTAACGGACAAGGGGAAAACATTGTTGTTCCGTTACATCTATATGACATCATGAATAAAGAGCTTATTTAGAAACTATCTCACTAGGATGCTGCTGCTAATTAACAAACTTTTAGCAGTAGAGCACTTGGCTACCAATCACTAAGTTTCTCACATTCAAGTAAGGTAAGCAGGATATAATAGGTGGTACAGGTTCTGTTTGTGATCTGGCATGCATGCTACAGATCTAAACAACCTTGGGGCGGACAGAGACTGACACCAAGCGAATGCCATTTCCAGAATGGTTATTCCTTCAACACAGTAAACTAATCAGTTTATAAATTGGAGACACAGCACCAATTGTAGTAAGAAACTTGACTAGCATCACAATCTTCATTTTCTTCCTCATTCTGACCTCAGTTTTCTAACTACTCATCTCCCTTCTCACTTCATGGCATTTACAGCTCACTGCTAGAGTAAAAGAACCCCAAAGAGAACCAAATCACATGACAAACATTTCATGTACCATTATTCTTTTGAACAAATCTCGAGTATCACCAGGTGATGAACAACTTTCGGTATATGCATTCATAACCAGATATTTTAAAATTGAAAAACATTATGGATGCATTTGCCACATTTGAGGGCGAAACAATCACAACGATTTGCGCACAACAATTCCCATTTTAAATAGATAAATTAAATGAGATATATGTGTACATGTTTCACCTTGGAGAAGATTCGGAGCTTTCGCACGGGTACAAGCGGAGGAGAGGAAGCGATAAATTCTTCAATCGTCTTTCAGGTTGCTTGATTGATGAATAATCTGCATCATTATTATTATTATGACCTTCATGGTTTATGGTACCAGATTCACATTTGGGAGCCCCCTCTGTTTCTGAATCAACTGCATCATCATTATCCCTCACACTGTTGGTCAATAAAGGACACTCAAAACCATGATGCTCCAAGTGGCTTTCACCATCTATCAGACCTTCTCCACTTGCAGCCTCTGAAGCTGGCTCCAATATCTCTGCTTGTCTCTCCAGCAGACCCTCTTCTTCTCTATGATTATTTGATATATCGTTTGAATCGCTTCCCACACTATCTTCCTTCTCGCCCCCAGAACAATCAGGGTCTAGAAAACTAATACCTTTAGTAAGTCTTTCCAACCGTTCTTCAGTGAAAATGCTGCAAGAGAATTAAATGCAAGTCAAAATGGGGGGAAAATAAACATGAAAACACCTTTGGACTCGCCTCCCCCTCTGAATTGTAGCGTATAGTTTATGATATCATCAGCATGGAAGCGAAAAAAGACACAGGGGGCAACATGTAAAACACAAACAAACCTATTCAATACTCCAAAATGCAATTCAAAGAAAGGAAGGCGTGTAAGAATGCAATAACATCTCCGTGTTGTAAGTACGTAACGGCTCAAAGTTGGGATCGAGGGTTGTTTATCTGAAACCACAGAAAGCAATCCTGATGGTTTTTGAATGATTTCTTCAACCAGCACACAGCAACCATAGAGTGTTGAATCATCAGCAACCTAGGCAATACAAACAGAAACTTCAGATGACCAAACAAAAAAAGACGAAGCGTTTCAGGAAAGTCATTGCCGGATTGAAATTTCACTAGTCCACCAAAGAAGTTGATAGATTTCAACAAAAATGGTAAAATTAGGTCGAGTTAACATTATGGTGGGAAAGCAAATAATACAAAAATATACAACCAATTAGATCCAGAAAAGAATTATGCAAGCCTTCGAGGGAAGACATCAAAACTAGATCTATCAGACTATCACCCACATCTGGTGAGAAATTGGTATTACCTCCAACTAAGAAACAGGGGGATTAGAAGGGAAGTGCCGACAGACATAAACTAAAATTAAAAAGTACGAATTTTTTTTGCAAAACATGCCAATTGATTGATAATCACAGTGCAACTAACATGACAATAACGTTTGAAGTATATACCTGTAACCGGAAAACAAATGACAAGTCACTCTTCTTGAAGTGCTCCTGCCAAACATTATCAGCAGCACCATGATCAGCCTTACAAATCTGAAACTAGATCCGATAACTGAAAGACGTGCTGCTTTGCTAAAACTGGTCCTATAATAACTCAAGGTCACAAAATGCATTTATTTCCTCAGACAAAATGAGATGGTACAATTATACAGCCTATTTCCCGGCACCAGTAGGCAATAGCACTAATTGATTTAAATATCACATATATTTCATTCCTACAGGAAATCCTATGTCTTGCTATTCCTGTTTTAGATTTGAAGCTATTAGCTAATCATTTCACGGACCGAAACTTAGTCAAACGCAGCAAACTCAATCAACAGGAATCTAGAAACAGACATAGGCAATTACTGAATCAACAACATTGGCTGAAAACCAAATAAGGAACGCATGTGCAAGCATATAATCAATGCAAAAATTCACATGACATCACAGCAATTGTTACCTGCGCAAGAAAAATCTCATTCAACTCACTCATGGACGCAGTTTTCTCAACAGCATTAACCTGAAAGTACAAGCAACGACATTATGGATATGCCATCTTTTAGCAGATAGTATATTTAGACTAATTCGAAGACGAGATCAGGGTCAAGCCTGAGTTAGAAGTAAAATTGACACACTTAGCAGATATTTCATCGGAAAGTTCGAGATGACCCGGAGAAACTAATATGTATCAGTTAGAAAAAACACCTAAAATTAAACAACATAATCCAAGGACAAAGAAACTTCACAATTAGTTGTATGGATGGACATTCGTATTGATATCATACAGACGTTGGGTAGGGTCGTTTTGATTTGGTGAAAGGAGGAGGTAAGCAATTGTAGTGGTGATCAGCACAATGGCAAATAATGGTGATAGAAGCAAAAAGAAAAGAGAAAAACAGGAGCATATCCAACCTCAACACCAGCAGGAAAGCAAAATGACAGAAGATCCTTGTATTTAAGAGGTAGTGCCTTGTCGGGCGGGTAAACAAATAAAACCTGAAAGTTAAATCAAATGTTTAATACAAACTCTAAGAAGCTATGCAATTCCAAAAAAAAAAAAATCGCAGTATTGCTTCAACAGAAGTTTTTACCTGAGGCTCAAGAAGAGGTTCTACTCGAGACTGATTTTGAGAACCAAGAGTGGTTTGCAATCTACCTGAACCTTCAGACCTTCGTGAACAGAATTGCCTTTGAAGTGACTGAACATCACTGTTTGGAGAAAGTCCGACAACGACCATGCTCTCAAAAAGCTTGGATGGCTCCTTCAAGGCTCTGTGATCCTGCATGCTTAAGTAGTTGTAATAAAAAAACGACTAAGAAGTTGTTGCACAATAACTAAGAAAGTGAAGTATAATCATTAAAATATGTGCAAAAGACACAGAGATCCAAAGATCAAAGTAGTGCTTGATTGAACAAGTACAAAATCATCCTAAATGTACACAAAGATAATTGAAAAAGATCTAATAAGAAAGAGGTTGAACAAAAATTCAAGTTCAAAGAGCCAAATTGAAAACAGCTAATACTTTTTCTGTCTGAAATCAATTGACAATACGTGACAAGGTCAATCTGAACTAAAATAACATACCAAGTTTTGCAATTGGAAACTAGCCCATTGCCGCTTTTGGCTAGTTAGAACCTCAGGATTATAATTTCCAATCCTCATTTCACGGCGAGGAGGCGAGATGCCTTTGAGCACCTTTGACACTTGGCGCTGGAATTTCTGAAGTGGGCTACCAACATTTTCGTCTTTAGATGAAAAAATCACAGAGGGCCGTGGAGAACGAACAGTGGCAGCTGCAGCAGCAACAGCTTTGGCAACATCTTCTGTTGTCTGTGCAAGGATCGAAGAACTCCAGCTGGGGGTTTCAGTCTCTTCCTTCTCAGACATGGCAACAGGACTCTCTGCCATTTTTGCCTGAATCCACAACAGAACAGGGTAGCATGAACCCAGGACGGAAGCTCACCCAAGCACTTGACCGGGAAAAGAAAAGTAAGCCAAATTTAGCTTTCAAGAAAGAGAGAACGTTGACATAAGATGCAGCTGCTATAAGGAAAACATCAAAGGAACGAACTTTTGCTACCCCTTGTGCTGTAAACTTATAAAACCCCCCTCTCTGTTCACCTACCAACTAGCAAAGCACTTGTGCAACTCTACTACAAGCCGACTGACGAGGGAAACAAGCAGAGCTCTGGAAACATTAGGATCAAGAGTTGCAGCTTAGCTTTACTTAAATCAGCCCGTCACACTGCGTCAGACCGACCTTAAGCTTCGAGACAGCAAGTAATTGAAGCTTACAAGTATTTTTGTTTCGGTTACTTTCACTTCCCACCAAACTCTTCGTAAGTTGCACAAAACCGATGACAATTCCAGGAAAACAACCAAACTTAACGTCAGAAGAAGTAGAGATCAAAACACAATTCAAATATTGCAGAACAAGAGCTAGTAGGATATTTGCCAGACGGCGATCAAGCCTGATCGAAGAAGCTTAGGGAACAAACTGAGTGAATCCCAATAACAAACGTCAAAAAGGGGAGAAACCATTTCATCAAAATCGGTTGCCGGAGGGATCAAGAGGGCAAACTCACCTATGGCACGCAGAGAGTTACACCAATTACAAGAAGGGTCTCGAGGAGCAGGAATTAGAGACAGAATGGAGGAGTAGAGAAGGAACTTTTTTTCAGGAGGCCGCCATAAGAGACGACGAGGGGCTTTGGGTGCTTTTTACGGCCTTTGTCGCTTTCCCCCTATCCAGTCGCGACGCGAGACAGCGAGAGATAGGGTGGGGGACTGGAAAAAAGGATGGAAAAGGAGGCGCCGGACGCTTAGGAAATTGCATTAATTATTCATTTTCCGGTTTTCGTTTCTTCAACGAGGAAGAAGAAGAAAATGTCAGACAAAAGGGATATAAATGAGAAAGGAAGACGTTATTAATTAGTATCGATGATGTAATCAATTTAGGGTTTGGGGAAAAGGAAGAAGAACAGCGACGACGGAGGAAGAAGAAGACCGGAAGCGGCGAGGAAGAGAAAGCCGGAGGAGACAGGCTTCTTGCTAATAGAGGGGAAAAGGGCTTTTCTCTTCCTCGGCTGGTCAATGCTGCCAACAAAATCTTTTATTAATCGATAAAAGAAAAAAGCAAAATATAACTCAAAACTTTTACCTTTGTGACAATAATAACCACTTTTTGAGATATGTCAATCATCACACTACGCCTACCTATACCCTGACAGTCACTGAATCAGGCACGATTCTCAGAAGATATAGAAGGAGAGGGTAGATACCCAACGAACCAGGACACGGAATCTGGGCATGCGTCTGGGATTAGCTACAACAAGGAAGAGGGATCTACCTGAGAAGAGTAGCATATACCATAAAAGGCAATTAAGAGGTAGTCAGAAGAGGCCACAAGAAGCGGAAGGGGATAACCAACTACCTCATTTTTTATCAAATGCGTTCAAGGCTGGAAAATGGTTCTTTGAGCAAGGGAGGCAGGTGGATTGGCCCTATATAAAGACCAAACAGCATGCAGAGTCTACCCAGTTCACCTCCATAAACAACAAGATCAACCCAGAAACACCAACTATACTCCTCTTGGATCCCCAAATCAACTGCGTCTCCCCATCTTACAGCCCATACACTATCTCAATAATGGAACTGAATGCCTCGAGCTCGAGAGGAATGAAGAGCCACCTGGTTCTCAATGTTAGGCCAAGAGTGGTGGGGGCCGGGGATAGTGGCATACCCATGCTACTATGCAGATGGATTACTGATGCAAATATCAACTTACACAAAGCCAAAAACACGGCATCCTACAAAATGGCGGGCCTATGGAGAAGTCCAAGCTACGAAGGAGGCAGACAACCTTTTTGTCTACTCGTTCCCCACAATGAAGCAGAGGGATGCAGTTTGGGAAGCGAGGCCATGGAATCTGGGCAACACCATGGTAGCAATGAGGAAGTGGGATGGGGAACAGAAGGCCGAGCTAGCCGACATCACCACAATCACTCTGTGAATGCAAATGCACGATCTCCCCCAATCTCTCAAAGACGAAGAATCCATCCAAGCAGTGTCTGAGTTCATCTTCCACAATACCATGGTATTGACAACTCAAACTTTGAATTTAGAGGATGGCTGAAGTTCGTTAGAGTGAAAGTGGAAGTCCAACTGGACAAACCCATCCCAATCGGGTTTGAATGCCCACTTGGGGAAAGATCTACCTGGGTGAGTTTCAAATATGAGAGGATCATGGACCTCTGCTACTTCTGTGGCAGACTGGGTCACCTCATCCAGAACTACCTCGAAAGAGAAGACTATCAAAGAAGGGGACTGTGCACCGATCCTTCGAAAGTGTACACAGCGGCGCTCAAGGCAGGACATGACTCACCGGAAAATATTCCCCCGGCCTCTTTCCGGGAGAAACAGGAAAGACTGAGGCAGAGTACACAAATCGAGCAAAGGGCCCGCACCATGCCAGTATCCCGAGGAGAATTGTCCTTACTGACTCTCGTGGGCCATCCAGTGCAGACCCATGCTTCCTGCCCACCGGGCTTCGTTGCTCTGCCCATGGACAACCCAGGAATGATGAGGGGTGGCGATTGGCTGCTCAGAGGAGAGAGGAGCTGCCCCACTAACCTATCACAAGTCTCGATGCTGCAAGTGGAGAAGCATAGAGGAATGGATCTCTCAGGCAGGAAGGAGACAAGGGAGAAGCAGGCTGGCTTGTTGGAGATGGGCCAGTCACTCACTCTGGCCAGCCCAACTATACCCATACAAGAAATGGACCAGGCCCAAGGGTTTGGTGAGCAGACACCAGAAATGGTAGCCCAACTAGCCCAATTCCCCCCCCCCCCACAGTCAACCGTTATTCAGAGCACAATGGGGGTGGAGGAGATTATTCCCAGACCGGAGAAGAAGAGGAAACCAGACAACCGAATCACTCAATCTGAATCCTCCCCACAGCAAGCTTTTACTACTAACCTGTCTGTTGATTCTTTGTCTTTCACAGCAGGTGGTGACCTAAGGAGGTATACAAGGAAGAAACACACAATTTAAAGAAGAAGCATCAGGGAGATCAATGCGGATGGGAACCAGTCTGGAGAAGGAGAATCCAGCTCCCCAAAGGCGACGACGGAAGACCATAAGCCGCCTTCTCAATCATGAGGATCATCAGCTGGAATTGTAGGGGGTTTGGCCAGCCACTTACAAGAAGCTACTGTGGCAGACTCTGTCGAAAATTTGGCCCCTCAGTGGTGTTCCTCATTGAAACCAAGAAAGATGACCAGTTCTTGGAAGACAAAATGAGGGTGCTGAGGTTGGACCACTCGAAGTACGTCAGCCCTTCAATAGAAGGTAGCGGTCTGGCGCTCTGGTGGAAAGATGATGTTGATTTGTGTGTTCTTGATTCATGTAAGTCCTATATGGACATTAGGATTAGTAGGGATGGTGTCACCTTCTTTTGTACCTTCATCCATGCTCCAACCATGGCGGTGGACAGAAGAGCCCTGTGGGATCGACTTACGAACCTAAGGGAAGCTCAAGATGAAAAGTGGCTTGTTTTGGGTGACTTGAATGTTGCTCTGTACCCGTTTGAAAAGTGACTTCTTTTGGAGCGGATCTATTTCTAAGATATCCATTCACTAGAAATGACAATGGGGCAGGTCCGGGGCGGGTTTCTTGGTACCCAGACCCGCCCCGTGGCAGGTCGGGTCCAGGTCGGGTAATTTATCACGGGTCACGGGTCGGGGCAGGTCGACCCAATGGGTAAGCAGTTAATATAAAAAATATTAGAAATGTTCGTCATTTTTATTATAAGACCATGGAAACAAACAACATTATGATATATATAGTTAAATTATTGGAGAAATTGAGGTTTTCACTAATTTACAACTTTATTATAGCTAAAATTTGATTTAATAAAAGGAAAATCCTAAGTAATTTGACTAAAATTACGTGTAATTTAGGCAAGAACGGGTCGAGAATGGGGCGGGTCAAGGCAGGTCGGGTCTATGAGAGTACCCATGCCCGCCCCAAAACAGGTCAAACAGGTCGGGTAAAACGGGTCAGGTCGAAATTGCCATCCCTACCATTCACTGGAGGGCAGGAAGGGTTCTTTACGCCCATAAGTCTGAAGGAGGACTTGGGTTCCGATCTTTCCACATTTTCAACCTTACTTTGCTTGCAAAGCAAGCATGGCGCATCCTCACAAACTCGGTCAGCCTTTGGGTCAGGGTTATGAAGGCGCTTTACTTCCCTCGGGTGGATTTCACTAAAGCCAAGAAAGGGAGCAAGGTCTCATGGATCTGGTCCGGTATCTGGAAAGAAAGGAAGTGGATGGAAAAAGGCATCATCAAGGTCATTGGCAGTGGAAGGGACACTAGCTTGCTCCATGACCCGTGGCTGTTTGTGCGACCTGGTCCCCTGCGACAGAACATCACTGGAGATTCCTCTGTCGTCGCCGATTGGATTGATCCCATCTCCTGGGAATGGAGGTTTGACATTCTTGAGAACATTCTGAGCCCAACGGAAATTCAAGATGTGGCAGGGTCGCCAGTTGGCCCCAGCTCCATGAAGGATTACTGGGCCTGGCTGTAACACCCTACCCTATACGTATTACCTAATCATACTGTTCATACAATCGCAGCGAAAATCATCTCGGGTGTTACATTAATTATCAAAATTTACCCAAATAAAATTTCGACATGAATTACTCGCGTAATGGGCTAACAGTTCTTCCATCTAATCCTGCAAAATAATTCATCTAAATCCATGCATTCATAGATAAACATATACACTCACTGCCATATGCATTGGCTTTTCATAGCCATAGTCACAGTTTCATACTACACAACTGCATACTATACTGATACATACCATAGTCGTCACAACTTACACAGTTACACAACATATACACATATTATCAACTTTCCACACCTGTGGATATTTCACACTACATCAGAAGCTAGTATGCACATGAAAAATGTTCTCAAAACATTTTTACAAAAAGGTGTGGATCACTGGCCAAAATCCCGAGTAGTAGACCAAGCACAGAATAGTTGAAGACCATACCTCATCATGGCTTCAACTCTAGCTCCTCTCCCACCTAACACCTATCTACTGCTGCTGCTGATGATCTACTTACACATAGCATAAGCAGAGAAGAAGAATAAAAGAGGGTCAGCTCATAGCTGAGTGAGATAATCATAGCATCGTGAGTTCATAACAGAGCATACCCCTACCATACATCTAGCAAACAAGCCAAAACACTAGGATCAGACCTCAGGCATCCGACATCCCAATAGGCAAAAGACTCAACCACATTGACTTATGCATATGCATCTTATCATGTTTTACTTATAGGCGCCTGGCTACTCCCATGCTAATTACTCTCCCGGGAATACGGACCAAACATCTCGTGGATGTGGTCATATCGGACCCACCACTGCCGGTGTAGTCATATCGGACCTGACACCACTATGGGTGTGGTCATATCGGACTCAACACCACTCTGGGTGTGGTCATATCTCATGATGAATCAACGGTCAACACCATATCAGGGGTGTGACATAACATATCATAACGGAGTAATAGCATGGGGAGCCCTAATTACTATGTAATTGACCATGAGACCAAATCAGTGTTATTTGATAATCTTATACATGATCCATATCTCATCTTGCTTACTCATAATTCGTTACTTGGACATATTCTTGACCTGGCCACAATTGGCTCAACATAACCAGGAGTCGTATAATTGCACTTCCTCGGGGTAAACCCTCGTGCAAGTCATCCTCCTTAAAACATCATAATATCACCATGGGATATATATTTTCCCACTTGTACATCCAAATACATCAATCATGAAAAATTATACCCAATCACCTTTTCGAACCATCATAAGGCATATCAACAGTCAAGCCCACAATTTACAACATATACAAAATCATCAGCATAAACAAGGTCCATCTCGATTAGGGCAAGTCAATAATATCATACAGTAGTCCAGGGTTCATCATATAGCACAAAAGTTCATACACCCCTAATCATGCCATTCTAGTTCACCTAGGTCAATTCTAAGCATCAATATAATAATCGTGATACGACAAACCCGGTATGCCGTGCTAATCCCTCACCAGTTCTGGTCGTTCAAACACCGGTTTAACCTTCCCGTACTAAAACGTCAATTTCACGAACGAACCCCGAATTAAAATCCGAGACCGCCCTAATATCCCCTGCAGTATCCCCGTCAATATTAGTTCTAGGCTCCGGGTCAAATTCTTGATAAAAATACATCAAACCCTGGCCGGAGCTAAATTCAGCGGTTTGGACCCCGGCCTAAATAATAGCCGAAATTCATGGATTAAAACTAGAGGATTGACTACCTCGCTGCAGGAAGCTCGTATATGAAATTTGGGCTCAATCCGGCTTCCGGATACTCCGAAACCCTAATTTGGCTTATCGGGAATTCAAGAAATTCCTGAACCAAAAACTCGTTTTAAAGCTCTAAATCGATAAATCACGATGAATAGATGAATTAGGCATTACTTACGGGATTTTTGGATCACTAGGGCTCAAGAATTTGAGCTTTGAAATTTTGGGTCGAGAGCTCCGCGTGTGCTCTGTTCTCTGGTTTCTCTCGGTTGAGAATGAGAAAGGATGATGAGAATTAAAATGGAAGAGGAAGCTTTTGATATATATATGCGGCCCGGCCGCTTAATGTTATTATTATATATATATATATATATATATATATATATATATATATAATAAATACGTATACTTATCCGATCGATTGATAATCCGATTTTTGTCGAAATAGTGCCGAAATGCTCGATTTTAAATCGCGAACTTTCTAGCGATCGAAATATGGGTTTTGCCGGAACGGGATGTTACACTGGCGCTACACTGACAAAGGAAAATTCACTGATAAGCTGGCCTTTCATCACTTCCACCACCAGTATCGGAGGGATCGGGGAGAAGAACTGACGATACCTGATTCAAACAAAGACAGATGGAAATGGCTTTGGGGACTTTCTCTGCCTCCGAAACTGAAATTCTTCATTTGGCGAGCTTCAAGAGGCGCTCTAGCTACAAGACACAATCTACATGCCCGACGATGCTCTCCTACCTCAGCATGCCCAGTGTGTGACGCGCCGACGGAGACCATCCATCACTGCCTCTTCCTTTGTCCCCATGCTGCAAATGGATGGGCTCAGCTTTGCCCGGAGCTTGCCACCCCTCCTCCGCTCACAAATGTGTTGGAGTGGCTTTTCTCCCTTTCGAGTAGCTTATCAACCGATCTCATACAGAACTTCATCTATCTGATTTGGCAAACTTGGAAGACGAGAAACGAAAAAGGTGTTTCGGGACAATCCTCCGGGGCCTTTTGCAACAGTTGCTAGAGCACTTGAGGAGGCCCATCGCTGGAGAGCTTGCCCCCAGAAGAGATCCTCCTCCTCTCGCCCTCAGCCTGCTCCACCCCCTGATACCTCTTTGCCACCGCCAAGTACTTATGCTTTTGAGATACACTGTGATGGATCGTTTTTTCACAATTCCCAGGAGGCGGCATATGGCGTCGTTATTACGAACGGTCATGGTCAAGTGGTGGATGGGAAGGCTGAGCCCCCTGCACTGCTTCTCACCGATTGAGGCGGAAGCGAAAGCTCTACTGAAAGGGGCTTTGGTTGCTGTGGATCTTCATGCCCCGTGCCTTGTTCGCTCGGATTGCCTGACCCTGGTGAAGGCTTTTCAAGTTCAGCCATGTCTCTGGCCATGGCGGGCAACGGCTTGGCTTGGACGAATCTTGCAAATTGCCAATGACCATCCCGACATCAGATTTGAATGGATTAATAGGAAGCTGAACTCCAAGGCTGATTGGGTGGCTAGGTCCTGCGCGCGGAACCAGCTGCCCTCGGAGTGGATTCAAATCCTTGATGTTGTTTCCCCCCTTCTATAATCTTTGGCTTTTGCCGCTTTTAATGAAAAGCTTTGTGCCCCTTGTAAAAAAAAAACACTTTTTGAGAAATGAAATCTATTGTTAGGATGGATCTAATAGAAGGGTTATTTCAAATATGGTATTTATGACAAAATACATCATGTCCTCTTTTTCATTCTTGGTTGCCTTAGTATGGACAAATCGATCATGCTTTTTGTAGGGAAAAAACCCCAACATGTATCAACACCCGTTCAAGGCTCCAGTAGATCAAGCACATGAATTACGGTTGTGAACAATTGCCAAAACATGTCTATCATGCTATTGTAATTATATTTCTCAAGTTCAGGTTGACAACACTATTGTGATTATATTGGATGAGGATTTCTAACAGATCAATTTGACTCAATTGTTTCATTTTGAGACAATCTGGTCAAATTGAACCGTTTGGCAGCACAAATTTAGATGAAGCAATTCTACTTGAGGAATTTGAAATTGACTCATTTTGAAGCAGTTACAATTGTCTAGGTTGGGGGCAGGAAATTCGAATTGGCTCGTTTTAAGTTACACTAGTGACTCTACCACTTTCGCGGTCAATCACGCTCAATTTAAGTGCTAAGTGAATGTTGCTGATGTCTAGTGTAACTTCCGCAAAGAGATAGACAGCTTCCAGAAGTTCTTGAACGAATTAAAATACGAACAAAAATTCTAAGGAATAAAAAGTAGTCAAAATGGATATTGGTAGACTTCTTTTATATTAAATAACATTATTTTCTAAATTTTTTCAATAATCAAAATGAAAGATAAATTATATTTTCTAAAATAAAAGTAAAATATAATAAATATAATCTTGTATTTTCAAAACAGCTTCTCGCAGAAGCTTTACGGGTCGTTTGCTTGAGGGTTTTGGTGATGGATTTGGTCATGGAAATCTATCCATCATGGACTTTAACGGAAATCCATCGTTTGCCTTAGGGAATTAGGGAGATGGAATTTGTGGGTCCCGCCACTTTTGGGGTTCCAAATCCGTGGACCCCACGGACTTGGAAGTTCCACCTCTTGAGGTGGGATTTGGGTGATGGATTAAAATCCATGATGGTAAATTACCTTTCTACCCTTACTTATTACTTTAATTACAAAGTTGTCCTACTTTAATTCAATGGTCATGCAATTATAAACTGTTATAATGTCGTATTTTATATATATGAGAATTTTTCATTTCGTTTTGTAATATCATAGTTTATTTAAATATGAATATATATGTGATTTGTTAGATTCAACTATAAATATCTTATACTCGTCTTGTGCATTATTATTTGATTGATTGTCGGATTCCAAAATCGGGGAGTTAGCAAGAAGTTGATGAGTTGTAGCAATAAAGCGAGCAATTGGTTGCAATTGATACATAATATTGCGTACATTATTAGATGAGTTGTTAATTGGTGCCAAACTATAATACATTTCTATATTTGTAGTTGAATTATTAGTCCACATAGTGGTAAAGAGTTTAAAATTTCATTGTATGCGTTGGATTTTTTTAATGAAATTTATGGATTATAATATAGAAATATAATTAGATAAGATAAGGGCAACAAGGTAATTTGAATTTCATATCCACAAATCTATTCAAACAAAATCTATAATCAAATCCAACAAGCAAACAATAGACTTGGTCAAATCCATAATGCCACCAAATCCATCATATATCCATGGTTTTCCAAAACCCAAGTTTTACCAAAACCCTCATTTTTCAAATCCATGAAGCAAACGACCCGTTAAATAAAAGAGGAAATGGTTCACAAATTATGGATGAACAAGAAACCAGTTAGGCCCAAAACAAAGTCAGAAGCCCAACTCATCTTCAACATACTTTTTCTAATCAAGCTGGGCCGGACTTGAGCGCGTCGGTCCAGAAGAGGTCCAAATCGAAATCGGCTACAAAAAATATTCCATATAATAAGTTAAAATTATTTTCCGAACCCCATGTTCTCCTCCAGTTCCTATAAATACGACGAATAAGGGGCCAAAGAAAAAAGAAAAGGTGGCTTGAGAACTCCGAGATTCCAGCTCATACAAAGGAAAGAGACACCATAGCCAGCCTGACCACCTCCTTCCTCCTCCTCCCCACAGACCAAGACCTGACCCCCTGACAGCCCAGAAAACCATAAACATCCAAGCTCCATTAAAAAGCACTCCCTGAGAAACCAGACGAATTCCCCATTTCCTCCATTATTTGGCGTTGAAAGCAAGCGAACAACCCGACCGACGCCATGAGTCTCTTCGGCCTCGGCAGCAGGTACCAGCTTCCTTCGTTTTTTCCCTTCCCCTTTTCTCTCCCGATTTTGGGTTGGTTTTTGTTTGATTCCCCGTTTGCGTTTTTCAATCTGGTAGCCTGGTCCTTTGTTTGATTGTATCGATTTGTCTTTTTTTGCGTAAGTGGGTCTTCATTTTCACGGGAAGAATCTGTGATCCGTTTATTCCTATGAGAGAGATACAGTGTCGAATTATCTGTTCATGGGGATCGGCCGGCCAAATTGCTTTTACTCGCGTTTGAATTTTTTATGTTTGCGTTTGCTCATCAAGGGTTGGGTCTTGATCGGAATCGGGACAGGGGTTTTGATTGACTTGGACAGAAATCTAGGCTTTTGGAGAAATGGTCGTAAGGTCATGGAATTGGAATTTGTGGGCCTCTGGTGTCAGAAGATTTCCCTGTCATTATACCCATTTCATAATCCCTCTTTTTAAGGATAGATCCTGGCTTTTTTCAGCTTTTACTTTGTTGATTCGATTTCCCCCTTTCCCCCTTGGCCTTCATTCGTTTTCTGTTTCTCTGGTGCCAATCCAATGGGGGGAAAAAGATGAAGCCTTGAAAAGTTGATGGCAGCATCCGGGTTGTGTGGTTCTGATTTTATGTTATGCCAATCCGGCAAGAGCCCCTTGAGGTCCATGTCTCTCTCAGTGATGGGTAGTTTGTTTTGGATAGTGGAAACATATGCTTCCTTGCCTTACCTTGAACTTAAATGCTGACTGCCAGTCGTTGCTCAAGTTTTTGTTTTGAGAAATAAATTAGTCCCTTAACCTAATTATTATGAGTTACTTATTCCAAAATCCATTGGGCATTAAACTGTATCTAATCCAGGAGATAAGGCTAAAATTTCATCTCCCGAGAGGAACGATTTAGTTGCAACAATCAATTGATCACTTGAGTTGAAAGCCTGTCATTCATTTGCTTTGGACTTAGAATCTGATTTCCTGTCGATATTTCCATTGCATAATGTCTGTCAGGCTACTCTCCATTCAGCCTCTGACTTGGTTATCTTCTTGAATTGTAATTGTTTTTGGTTTTGAAGAAACCAGAAGACTTTCCGGCCTAAGAAGAATGCTCCATCTGGTAGCAAGGTTCGTGGAGGAGGAGACTGTGCTTTTGGGAGGTATTTTGGTTTCCAGGCAGTTGGTACATTGTTTGATGTAATTCCTTTTCAATTTTACGCAGGGTGCTCAACTTCAAGCACACATTGATGCTACCTTGGGTAGTGGCAACTTGAGGGAAGCTGTAAGGTTGCCTCCTGGAGAAGATATCAATGAGTGGCTAGCCGTCAACAGTGAGTGCACTGTCTGGCTGCCTTTATTGTCCGATAATCTGTTTGGATATTCTTTTTGTTGTCTTTTCAATACTTGAAACTACATATCTTACAGTGTGTAGGATTTCTGAATTTAGGTTTTCTCTTCTGCCAGTATTTTGACTTCATTCACAAGTTTTTTTTCACTCAACCAGACTTGTTTGTCAGTGTTCAAATTCCAATCTGATATGCTCTCTAATCTGTGTGAATTATCTGAATGAAAGCTGATGATGATAATTTTGATCTCTTGCTGTCCCTGTCCTTGTGCTTCAGCTGTGGATTTCTTCAATCAAGTGAACATTTTGTACGGCACTTTGTCTGAATTCTGTACACCATCCAACTGTCCAACCATGACAGCCGGCCCAAAGTATCACTCTTTGATCCCACTTCGTGAATTCTGTTTGTTGTTTAATTGTAGCATATCTCAGTTGTATTATGATTGGACATTATCCATAGTTAATTTGTTTTGCTTTCTCTATATTTTTGTGTCTTACTGATCTTTCTAATATCTGTTACAGATATGAGTATAGATGGGCTGATGGGGTTACCATAAAGAAGCCAATTGAGGTATCTGCTCCAAAGTATGTTGAATATCTGATGGATTGGATAGAGTCTCAATTAGATGATGAGAGGATTTTCCCTCAACGACTGGGTTAGTAAATCAATTTCCACTACAAGTAAACTGGTGTGCTATGTAAATAGAAGATTGTGGTTAGCTCTTACACTATCCGTGGCTCTGTGCTGTCTCCAGGGGCACCATTCCCTCCAAATTTCCAAGATGTCGTGAAGACAATCTTTAAGAGATTATTCCGTGTATATGCCCACATATACCATTCACATTTTCAGAAGATTGTGAGTTTGAAGGAAGAAGCACATCTAAACACTTGCTTTAAACATTTTGTTCTCTTTACATGGGTAAGATTTTCTCTCACACTGAAGTCATCTGCAACTACGTACAGAACTCATCACGAGTCCATCCGTTTTTTTAACTCGGTTTCTTCACCAATGTTTGGCAGGAATTCCGATTGATCGACAAGGGCGAACTAGCGCCTCTTCATGACCTCGTCGAGTCCATCCTCTGATCATAGATGCCATTGGTTGGAAACTCATTTGTACCGCTTTTCCTTTTGCTTCCCCATTTTAACTTACCAGCATGATTTACAGTTGGTTTGCTTTAAAACCATTTCCATAGGAGTGATGATCTTGAAACAGAATAAGAAGTATTGTGAATCTTGTTTGCCCTTCCTAATTGTTTTGCTGAACGCACAGTTTTTCCTTTTTTTCTCATACTGTATGTATGTGTACCCATCTGTCGAATTGTTGATAATATGGTTGTGAGATTCCAGAAATGCTGTATGATATTTTAGCTGGCACTTATCATGTACAGGTGTGTTGGATAGTTGCTTAGAATTTCATTCACTCTTTAGCCTACCACTGAGATGTGGTTACGGATCTTTGACCTCATCAAAAGTCAAAACCCATCGAAGTTTTGCAGCATATCTAATGGCTTTAATGGTGCACCTAGTCTAATATCAGTTTTTCCTTTTCATCAAATACCGGTTTATTTTGTAAAGATGGAGATTGAGATTCATTTTGTAGTGCTATTCGGTATTCGGGATTACGGAATTGAGATCGGTATATACCGAAATAACGAGAAATACCGAAAATTAAAAATTAATGAAATATAGCACAGAATCTTTAGTCATTCCTCACTCTTTCGCAACTTAAAAGTCTCATCCAACTCAATTTTGACTTTCCAATTTAAGTCACCCTCATCTCTCACCTAATCTCTTTTTATTTTTATTACACCAAAAAGCAAACACTAGTATTAGTCGTTTCTCAGCATTCAATTCGTCAAGATAAAGATTACCAATGACAAGAATTTGAGATGTCACATCTTCTCCATTCTCCTTATCCATATCATAGCTATAGGCAAACTCAAGACTATTTTGCTTAGTCTCTTTGCCCTAAATTAAACAATCAAATCTAATTTATATATTTAATTATCAATTACAAAGGTAACTAATTTTGTATCCGATAATACCGATTGGGATACCGCAATACCGACTGGGATACCGAAATATTTAGGGATTGGGATACCGAAATTATTTAGGGATTGAGATTGATTTTAGGGTGTGATTCGATATTCGAGATTTTGATATTTGGTATGGGATACCGATACCGTACCGATTTCCACCCCTACCTTTTAACATTATCTTAGAAGCTTTTATACATAAATCATCAAAGTTCACTTTTGTAACAGTGAGAACCTACATTATCATTTATCAATACAAAACTCGTGCTAAATTGCAAGTTTGGTCACTAGAATTACAATAAATTTTCACGTTTTCTACTAAGATTAATTTATTCCATTCATGGTCACTTAAATTAGTTATGTAGTCCAAGTTTGGTCACTCTCCGTTAGTCTCCGTTAACTTTATCTGACGTGACAGTCAACTCTAAAAGTTGGCCTTTAAATAAGTGACGTGGCAATTAAATCAGCACTAATTTGCACCTTAAAACAACGTCATAGACTCATAGTGTCTCTTTTCTACCTTTTCATATGTTACTAGCGCTTTTTGAACCTTGATATTTAGCCTATATGCGTACTTTATAAGCGATTGTGGAGCAACAAATCTCAGCGTTGATGTTGAGTCCCAAAAGGGTGTAATGTATCGTCATCCTTCATTACTGAGTTTGTACACATGCTTCTAAAGCTACTCGATTGGCTACGACACGATACTAGGTACATTTCCCCAAGGCTACAAAACACAGGAGATATCCATGCTTATCTGACAAAACATGATTGGAGTGAATATCCAGAGCAAAGACATGATATTTTTGGGAAGAAGTCATGATATATCTAAAAAACAAAATCACGTTTGGCTAGACCTAAAGCGTTCATTATTTTGATCAGAAAAAATTGAGAGGGTAGAATAGCATTATGGGGAAAACATCCCAATAGTTCAATGTGTATTGTGGCTCCAACAAATCTGGAGCTGTTTTTCAATGCAAAACAAACCCTGTTCAGCCCAAATGAGCTGACATTTTACAGCTTTCCTATCCCTCGGCTACATACATTAGTATCTGTATCGTCGGTGCTGTGTTTTGTACACAAAAAAAGAAGTTTATGACGACGGTCCCTCCATTCCTTCACCTATGCAATTTCCTTTCTTTCTGTTGTTGATTGTTTCCAGCTACTCTCCTATCAAGTTTGAAACCGACGCCATTCGTCAAGCTTGACGAGATGTACAAGCGCCAGTTTCCGACTTAATACTGGTGGAAGAATGGCAGGCAGCACCATTTCTCTCCTCAAAGTCCTGTTTCCCGGGTGGGCGCAACCTGTTTGCTGGAGAATGAAACAAGGGAGAGAGCTTCCTCTCTCTCTCGCTCTGTACTCTGCTTTACTTCCGCCTTCCCTTCTCACAAATGCACCCTGGAAGAGGATTTGCATAGAAGCTCTCTTCCAGCTTTGGAAACTCTCCAACCTCCCGATAATATGGCCCTCCATTTCGCTCCCGGTGAAGCTTCTTCACTTTGGAACTGAACCTCTTCCATGACAGTGTCCCCTCGTCGAGCTGATCCACGAGTTTCACAAAGTTCATCCTGCAACAAACAATAAAAGCAAACATGACAAACAGCTACGCGCACAAAATCGTTTGTCTAACTTGGAAAAGTACACATTCTGGGATGTCGAATTTTTCAGAGAGGGAACTATTACTTGTCGGGGTTGATGGTCTTCTTGAAGTTCTCGAATCGCCGGTGGCCCTGAACTGCCTTGGCCATATTTCCATCATAAGTATACACAAACACATCACTCTGAAGTGCAACAACATAGTCTATACCAGCCAACATGTTCTGATGGTTCTTGAAAGGTTCCAGCTCGTCTTCTGTAGCCAGAGTCGAGTGCGAGAAGATGTTTGGGAAGTCGTCCTCCAGATACTGCATACTTCCGTTCCCATAGGCCTCACCAGCTACCAAGTAAATCATAGTGCTGGAAGGAAAGCCCAGTGCTCTCAGCAGTAGAGAAGTCTCCCTGGGAGTCAATGGACAACCACCAAGCAACCTTCTTTCTGTCCCGTTTATTTCTTTCTCCTTCCAATGATTCACATCATAACGCATGCTTCGTAGCTCCTCGTCCTCTTCTGCGCTCAAACTGTGACTGCAGCCAGTAAATGCAAGCATATCCTTCTCATACCTGTAGCAAATGGAGGAAGTGAAGACATGAGCCAAAATAGCATACATAACTATTAGACGATGAGGCCAAACACATATGAAATGTTTACAGTCCTGCATTCTCATGAAAATATTACGAGCGTGCTTGATGCAGATGCAGATGCACCTTTTTGTTTTCTGATACAACTAACAGTATGTTCACTTTTATCCAACCAGTATTTGACAAGACAGGCAATGAGTGGGTCCATCTCAGCTGATGATAAGAATTCTAGAAACTGACACAGGATTTAGCAAAAGCACAACCAGAACCAACCTCAAATGGAGTGCAAGGTAAGGATTCCCATTTCCTCTCATTCTTGCCACCAACAAGTTTCCAAGTTCTTCTATTGGTTTGGCATATTTCAATGCCCTGTAATTCACACGACATCTTAGCTTTTGGATAGAATCCGGGATACCATTATTTGCAATCCGAGAATCAGTGTGCGTAAAGTAGACTACTCTGTGCTGCTTCAACAGTGGCAAGACCTCATTTTTATAATAGCTAACCTGCAAAAAGAGAAAGGCAAGTTGAACAGAATCCTTTCAAATAAGAGAACACAAAAACTTCATCCATGATTATTTTGCAACCTCAAAAAACCAATAAAGCAACAAAAGTTGTGTCGACCAACCTTAGACCAAGATATTGGTGTTTTCACAAAAGGCTCCACTCCTGAATAAGATGCTGGCAAAGCCTCAACTATGTGTACTTCATCTTGTAGAGTCTCAATGAAATGTTGCCAATTGAACAGATCCTTGAAGTCACTGAACCATATGACGTAAATGAGTTCCCTTAAATGTAAAAGAAACAAAACAAAAAGAACATATTTCCATCTGCCTGGTATCAGCAAGGACATGACTGGCCACTGAACCTTGCATTTATTACGAACATATTCCAATTCAATACTCTCCGTATACCATGATCCAGTATTTTCTGAATGTAGTCTTGTTAAGAATTTAAGATACAAATGTGCTTACCCACAAGAAATCAGAGCCCTTTGAGCAAAATACCCATCCCAGATGAAATAAGTTGGAGATTGTGGCATTCATTGCTCTATATAATAGAGAAATCTAGAAATTAAAGAAATTGTGTAAGACCGTGAAGCTTAATATACAAACCTGTCATCTGCCCAATACGAGGTGTGATCAAGAGAGGGAAGGACCAGTGTGGCCTTCGTAACCTTAGCCACAGCGACCATATCACAGATCTACACATTAAGAGCTTTCAGGGATCAGGATGCAGTCACAAAAGAAGGAACAATCAGGCAAAAGTAACTAAGAAAAAAATAAGAATAAGCAGCCAGACCCCAAATCTCATCTGATTTAAGCCACCATTGGCATTTATGAGGATATAACCGTTTGTTTTCGCATCTAGCCCTGTCAAGAGACGAGTCCAAGAATTAGAGGTAAGGAACAACTGAAAACAGCAGATAAAGATAGACAAGCTGAATATGGATAGAGGAGAGGAATTACAAAATGTTCAAACTGTTCATTAATCATACTTTTGTGACTTCTTGGTAAGTCAATGCAGCGGGTGAAATTCTCACTGTCAGGTCTTGCCCAGATACCTGACAACTAAAACCATAAAAGATAAACTTCAGAATAACCCAAATAATACATGAACATCAAAATCCTTTCACTCTGAGTAGTCCCTGGGGCAAGCGGTGGTTGTATGAAGCCAATATCCGAATGAAGAAAGAGAATGAAATTCAACACTTACTTCAACCTTGACACCATTACTGTGAGCTAGCCCTGTGGTCGACGTCCTTAGATTTCGATCCACGTCCTTTTTCATTCAAGGTGTAGGAAATACAGTTAGCAATCAGAAGTCAAGTACCGAGAATGAGGAACAGAGTATTGAAACTCAATACTTACTTCAACCTTGGCATCATCACTGAGATCTAAACCTGCAGTGACTGCCTTTAGATTTCTATCTGCATCGCCATTGTCTTTATACTCAAAAGTGTCAGAAATGTGGGAGCTCTCATCCAAGTCCAGTTGGTTTACATGATCAGGCAAATCCTATTGGCAAACAAGATAATGTTACTACAGTAGTCGAGGAAAATAACGATCAATGCATAGATATTCACAAGAGGAGCGCACGTATCTAAGAGAGGCAACCAAAACCAAACAAAACCCAGGAGTGGAAGTTCATTGGACCTCCCGAATTGGGAAATTCAAAGCCGGAAATTGGAGTTAACAATGTAAAACGAGATATATCGAATTTTACTCATTATAGGCAGTGCACCTAACTTCCGTCTGTATCTGTCTTACTACTGCAGTACTGCTAGATCTTAATGAAAGCAACAGGAATCCATTATCCAGAAGCCAATCAATGGCGATAGTAAGCCATTCAACTGCACTGAGATTCATCATTAACCAGAAGCCCAAGGAAACAAAAACCGCCGGAAAGCAGCTCCAGCCATCACGACTTGGATATTGCCTGAATGACATCAGCTTCAGGCGACACATACGGCACTTAGCACAAGAAAGCTCAGCAGTTGACATATGAAGGACAAAGCTCTAAATTCCAAATCACGAACTCCTGTGCCAATGGAAGCTCCAAAAGGAAATTGAAAAGGAGAGAGAGAAGAGGCACCTGCTGGTAGGTGGCGCCGTCGAGGTCAGATCCAAACCAGCCGCCGGCACAAATCTTGAAAACGCCCAAAAACAAACAAACGCCGCAGAAGGCGAAGAACATCCACTGCCCGAGCTTCTTCCGCTCCCTGAGACCGAAATCCCGGACGACGGATCCGATTCCCCCACCGCCCTTCCTACTACTCCTCGCTACCCCGGCGTGGACTCTCTGGACGAGGTGCTGGCGATCGAAGCCGTCGACGACGACGACCTCAGATCTAGGCGAGGCGATCTGGAGATCAATCTCGTCCCCCGCGGCGCCGAACCTGGGGCTGGCGCCTGCGCTGTTGGAGGCGCTGTTGCCGGCCGCCTGAGCAGCGGTGTCGCCCGCGGTGCCGTTCGCATTAGCGGCTGCGGAGGCGGCGTTGGGGTTGCGCTTGAAGGAAGTAGTCCGGCGAGTCATGGAGCCCGTGAAGCGAGGGCTGTTGACTCGCTGAGAGACGCCATCGCTGGTGTTGTGGTGATGGGCGTGCGAATGAGAGTGGTGTCCCATTTATATGTGGAAAGGGGGGATTTCAGAGTCGCTGTACGGCCAAAATAGAAATGTCCGGAGCAGAAGAGGAACACGACGAAGGAGGTGGGGGGGAAAACAAAATTGGAAGCAATTAATGTAGATGGGGTACGCAGTGTTTGTGGTTGTTTGTTATTTAATTAGAGATGACGGAGTCGGAGATGGCAATCGCGGTTGGGAATTGACGTGGTCGAGGAGGAAGACGACGACGACGACGACGGCGGCGGCGATGAGATCGCCATTAATGACGATTCAAGTTCTACTGTGGAGGAAGGAGAGTGAATGGGGAGGGCGGTAATGAAATCTGTTTGGGTGTGTGTGTTGGAGTGCGGGCGGTGGTCGGGAAACTGATTTTTGGACATGAAGGGATTTATTTCGGGAAATTCTCTTTTTTTAAATATTCGGAATTTTTTTCCTACTGTGTTTGAGAGGAGAGCGCAAAATTTAAATTAAAAAGGAAAAAACGGAAATGGAAAGGGAGGGAACTGGCATTTGGCAGTAGTTGGCCAGTTGTGATTCACTGATTAGTGAATGCGGACTCTCTCTCTCTCTCCTCCCTTCGCTTTTACAATTTACACTGTCAAAATCCGTTCCTCAGAGTCTCTGAACTCAATTATTGGGTGTCGATGGATTCTCGAAATACATACATCTCCGAAATATTATATTTTTTGCTCGTTTTATTCGAAAATAAAAATTTTGAGTTTTGGAAATCTTGTAGATTTTGGAACCGTGCCCCAACAAATTTACATACCTTAATACATATTGTTTTGTGTCAAATACATGATATTATATAATTCATCACTCGGATCTCACAAGCAAACAATACCGAATTGATAGTATATAATTATTTTCAATATATAAAAATTAAAGAGTTTGAATTTCCTTTTCTTTTTGTGAGAGTGAGTATTCTTCATGTTTCTTATTGTGTGACATGTAGATGTTTTATACAATTAATCAAACAATGCATTATTCGAAAGCACATATCTTAATATGTACATAATCACTAGAATACAACATTTCTAGGATTGAAGGTTTCAAACGACCACTTAAAATTTTCCCTCTTTTTATGTATTGTATTTTTTTATGATTAGATGCATCTAAGCAGATATGTTCAACTTTCCTTGATCATTACTAATACCTGACAAATTCAAAGATGTAAGCGATTTGAACTCACAGTCTTTGTCGATGGTTATTATTATTTCAGAAAATAGTAGATCTTAAAAACTAAACTTGAGAGTAGACCGTATTAATCTTACGCCCTAGTACTTAAACTAGTTATTGTCCGACTTTGTCTGGTAGAGGTTATTCAAGTCAACACAAAGATAATAATAATATTTTGATTTCGTGAAAGCAACAAAACAGGTGATCTTTTGGAGGAGGGAAAAAGAGAACAAAGCGAAAGATCCATATCTGAACTTCCGAAGGTCAAATGCTGGAAACAAGTCCAATTGGGAATTGGCAGTTATCAAATGCTCAAAGCCTGCTGCTACGCTACGCATAGGTCAATTTTATACGGCTTGGTGGCGTAGACCGGTTCAGAAACCCAACAGATTCAGGAAAATCCTATAGGGGGCAAGACCACTCACACTTGACAATGACAATAATGCTAGGCGGAAACAAAAGAGAAAAAAAAAAGTGGGTGGGAAATTTGCAAGATTGCTGGTCTAAAATGAGAAGGTATGGTATTTCGGGAGCGGATAGTATAACAACACTCATAGTATTGTTATACTAACAACAAGATTCATTAAGGGTAAAAGGGTAAACTAACACAAAATAACAAATTAAAATTAAAAAAAAAATTTCAATCCCCAGCCACCCTCTCTCCGTCTCTCGATCTCTTCTCCCTGTTGTTGGAAATCGAAGCCGACTGCGGTGGATGTCGTAGACGACAAGGGCACCGACGGCGTCGCGGTAGTAGGCGCCGCTTGAGCTTCTTGTTGGCGGTCGATTCCGATGCCGAGCTCCGCCCACGAGTTCTTCCCCATGGCGAACAACCTCTTCTTTTTCCAGTCCTCCCCTGTATCTTCATCCGCCGCGGATTGCGCTGGGCAGCCAACCGATAGCGATGCAGAGAAGAAGATTGAAAGTCGGGACGGTCAAGTTGCTAGATCGGATATCAAATTCACGTACCGCCCTTCCAGGCCGGCTTCACGTTGTGGTTAAAGAGAGCCCCCTTAGTTTCGGCGCCGATCGGTTTAGGTCAACCGAATGGGTCGTCGACTCAGAAAGACAGGTTAGAATCGACACCGAATGAAGAAGGAAAGACTGGAGCGAGGAGGATTTCTTGATTCTGAAGAAGCAAATGGTGAAGAATCCAGTGGGCAAGTCGAGGGGATGGGAGGTGATCGCCGAGGCGTTCAACGGGAGGCACAGAGTGGAGAGCGTGATTAAGGCGGCGAAGGAAATGGGCGAGAAGAAATCGGATGACAGCGATTCCTACGCCAAGTTCTTGAAGAACAGGAAGCCAATCGACGCCAGGGTGTTTTTGGGGGAATTAATGAGTTACTGTGAAAGTAACGTGGGTGTGGCCAAGTGGAGGTGGGGGTTAAAAACCAATTGATGTATTTTAGTGTTTTTTGTATGAATTATTGTCTTTATGGTATGTATTTGGGAGTTATTGGTATGTAATCTACAAGTATCTCATTATCACATTAGAACCCTTCTAATACAGAGCACAAACACGATAAAGCAAAGCCAAAAAAAGCATACCAGAAACCTCCCAATCCATACTACAAATCGCTTAAAACAAACCAGAAACTTCACAAAGCAAACCACAAATCTCCTAAAACAAACCAGAAACCTCGCAAAGCAAACCACAAAATTTTCGAAAGCGCACCAGAAACTTCTTAATGCAAACTAGAAACCTCCGAATGCATACCACAAATCTCCTAAAACAAACCACAAACCTCACAAAGCAAATCACAACATTTGCGAAAGCACACCAGAAACCTCCTAATGCAAACCATAAGCACAGTAAATCAAACCACAAAAAAGCAAACCATAAACGTCCCAATGCAAACCACAAATATATTAAAACAAACCAGAAACCTTTCAATGCAAACCACAAAGTTTTTGAAAGTAAACCAGAAACTTCTTAATGCAAACCACAAACACGATAAAGCAAACCACAAAAGGCATACAAAAATGTGAGAAACCAAACCATAAATCTCACAATGCAGACCATAACATCCGGTGGTCGTTGGCCGTTGACCGGTCAACGAAGACCGTTGACCAAACTCCGATGACCGTCAGTGAGTAGAATCCGGCGCCGATAGGCATATTCCGACCCCGATGACTAGATTCCGACGCCGGTAAGCATATTCCGACCACGGTGAACATATTCCGGCGACGATGACATATTCCGATGACAAAATAGCATATTCCGACGACAAAAAAGCATATTCCGGCGATCGTCGACCCGATTCCGGCGACCAACATTTTGGGCAGAAATATTTTTTTTATTTTTTATTATTATTTAAACATATTTTTCATAATGACAATTATACCCCTGCTTTGATTTTACACTAGGTCAACTCATCTAATAAAAAGTCATCACAATCCTAGCTTCCTATTGGTTGGAGATTAGTGTTGTTACAATAACAACAAAAGGAGTGTTGTTATAGTATCTAGTCCCTGGTATCTCTCTCTATGTTTGGTAGGCAGGCTTGGTATGAAATCGAGTCGCGCGCTCGTGAAAAAATTACTACATGATTTAGCTTGTTATTAAACGAGTCTGATCTGCGTGAAGATTTGTTTCGACTTGCAAGATTGTTGGTTTGAAGTCGAAGAACTATCTTGATATTACTTTTTGAGAGTTAGCTTGTGACCAATTCGTGTTATATATTGTTCATAAGTTTGCTCACTTATTGAATACTTTCAAAATGATTGTATTATATAGCTGAAGTAGTAATCTGATTTTGGACTCTTAATATGTAAAGCTAAACATTTATTTTGTTCATAACTTATATGAAAAGGTACATGCATTTTAGGTGAATCAAAGACTAATTAGTTATCATATGATACGATACAAACAAATTGCTTTTATTCTAAATCTGACTTGATGCATTGATTGGTGTGTATAGTTTTGAAAGTTATATAAAGTCTTAAGTAAGAATATTATATTGGGTTAGATTGGTCGTGTTGAAACTATAATTATTTTTGAAGAAATTTCGAATTAAATATTTTTTATTATGAAAATAGAAAATAATTATTAATAACGTAATATTTATCTTACCACCATATCATTGTTTGATTAATTAAGGGAGTAATTATGCTCGTTAAACCGCATGACTTATTCTCCACGAAAAAGAGAATATTTGAGGTCTTCTACTCCTATAAATACCACACCCCAAAGTCTCTAAATAGTAAACATACAATGCACAGAGCATAAACACGAGAGAGTGTTCTTCAGAGAGTTCGGTTTTGCACAAACAAAGAGTAAGATATAGTGATTGTTTTTATCATGGAGGTGACCGACTAATAGTCTGTTGTGCACAACACGAGGCAGTGTCTCGAATGTCTTCAAGAGAGCGACCCAGTCCTCCACTCAGCCAGATGTTGTAGTTCTATTTTTTGTGTTTGATTTCTAAAAATTTTAAGATGTTGTGCTGCGAGCCTGCGACTATGGTGACCAAACAGAACACCGGTCTACCACAAGCAATATCAATCGTCCCTTCCGCTTATAAGGAACCAATTTGTGCCGCTGGAAACAGAAGATGGATTTATACATGACGATCAAGAAGCTGGCAAACTGACCACCTCCATGCCATCAATTGTGGCTAAAGAAGCAACCGATGCGAAGATGATTGCTGCTGAAAAGAGGACGACTTTCACTACAAAAACTACATCCTCAATGGCCTCGCTGATGACCTCTACGACTACTATGCGGATCAAACCAACACCGTGAAGATGGTGTGGGATGCCCTATAAAAGAAGTAGGACACTCAGGAAGCTGGAGCCAAGAAGTATGTTGTCAGCCGCTACTTGTGGTACCAGATAGTGGACGACAAGTCTGTCGAGGTTCAGTCACAAGAATTCCAGAAAATGTTCCTAGACATAAAATCAAAGAATTTACGTTGGAATGTTTGATTACTTGCATAAGAATAAAGGAAGAAGCTCGTAAATAGGATATAAAGGAATAAGTGCTGGTTGTCGGTGCTAAACGATCCATTCTCAGGCTCTGAAACCAAATCAAAAGAGTTTCAAGAACCAGAAGATCCTCACTAATCAGAATAGGAGAAGGATGCCCAACCGCTAACAACAATAGGCGTGAGGCACTTGTGGTGTCCTTCAAGTGAAGACCCGTTAGGTGACTTCAAGTGCTTTTAAGAGTTTAAATAGCGACACTCGTTAGTACCATTTAGTATCTACCTAAATCTGCAGCATCAATTGCCTGGTCCTCTTTCACATAACCATTGCATTATACTCCTATTTAAGTGTGCGAGCTTCTGGGTTCTTCTACGGTTGTAAGTTTGAGTTAAACAGATTTCTTTGCTAAACCATGATTCAAATACAAGAATGAACATGTTTCTATTAGAGATCATTGTTATTATGTGAGCAAGCTCTTTCTGTGCTTTATGTTCTTTGTATTGCTTTGAAAAAGAAAGAAGCTGTGCTCCCGCGTGTGGTTCTAATCTTCAATCACCACACCAATAAAAACAAAGTAAATAGTTGAAATAACAAATTTATGGTCCCGGCGGGGCTCGAACCCGCGACCTTCGGCTCATAAGACCAACGCTCTAACCAACTGAGCTACGGGACCTTTGATTATTTATATTTTTTGATTAACTATATTATAATTCTATAAAACTTGAATTTTGATCCTCCACATTTGCACACTCAAATGTAAACTACAACAACTTATATATCGACGAAATATTAAAACACTTTTCGTCCATGTCGATTGCTGGATTTGAATTTCATAAACTCCAATTACTTGCATTTCTCTAAATCTCTACCACTTTTTTTTTGTGATGAATTCTCTAGCCAAAGTAAATTAAATTCAACGAGACAAGTAATCACAATTACGTTTCTAGAGCTAATCTCTTGTTTCGATTATTAAGCTGGAAAACCTACTGGAACAAGTGCACATAACTCACTTGAACATGAACAATTTGAGTGTCTCAAAAAGACATAACATCACAAGATATACGTGAACGCTAGTTGAAAATCAGGCACGAAATCAAACGATCACGCCAACAAAAATTACTTCCTCGCTCGTACCGAAAATAGTTTCACTTAACCGTAAACTCCTCGTAAAACTATTGAGACTTCAACATCCTCCCAATCTTTTCAGATGGCCAGGGAATGTAATTGAATAAATGAACCAACTAGCTAGGCCCCTTTGTGAGTTGTCTCGACGAATGAAATCGTTGAGTATAAAATTAAATGGGGGAAGAAAAGGATGGCCAAATGATGCTCTGCCCACAGAAAGTCTAGCCGACACCTAATTTGATGCAGTAGCCACTAATGCCTTCGTACTATTGCCGGAACTTGGAACAGAGAACATTTTCAGTCTGCAACTGAGTGCCATTATTTTTTCACTCATTTTCCTCTCCCTAGCATCCTCCTCTTCATTTTCAAAAACGAAGGAGATCAACGGCTAAGGGAAAAGCAACCAAAACCCCAGTGTTTTACAAGAGCACTTCTACTATGCTATATAGTATTGGTGCTTTAATGTACAACTCAAAGTTGTACCATAACATTAAATGTATAAGTTTAGGTTGTACCATAAAGCAATTTATACCATTATGATATGGTACAACTTTACAACTTGAAGTTGTACCATCACATAAAGGTACAAGTTCAAGTTGTACCATAAAAGAATTTGTACAAAAAGTATAGGTACAATCTAAAGTTGTACCATAACGTAAATGTACAATTTTAAGTTGTACCATAAAGACAAAAACCTATAGCACAAATACTATATATAGTATTGTAAAATTTCTCGTTTTACAATCCTCAGAAAGGATTCGGTTCACTGGTTACAACTGTGTTTTCCCGTTTGCGATTGTCTTGGCACAAAATGCAAACTATGTGTCGGTATTAGGCGTACAGCTAATTCCAAGGTTGCATTAGATGTTGGCTGCAAACAGAAAATGTACGAGTTGTTGTGGGCGATGTGTTGCCGCTGAAAGTCAACTCAAACAGTTACGGGACTAGCTGGAACTTGTTCTCCTCTGCCTCTAGGAGGAGATTGAGTCATATGATTAATGGAAATATGGAGTTGGGCATCGGTTAGCTAGCTTGCTCATCATAAGAGGGTTACTATTATTACAACCACAATTGTAGGATAGTTTATCGTGGTTTTAATTTTGATTTTGAATGGTCAGACCATTCGGGTTTGACTGTTTTTTTTCTCCGATTTTAACTAGTTTAACCCGATTTTGACTTTTCCAGAACCATCCAATCGGAGTGCATTCCAATAATTTAAATGATCGAGTCTGGCAGGAACCGATTGAACTGGCCTGCCGGATACAGGTTTGACAACCTTGCTAATATCATTGCGAAATGCTTTGTGGCTTCCAATGCAACCTTGAGACACCAAGTTAGTCACCCCAAATCGCACTATTTCTTCTCTAAGAACGTGAACGTGACTAGGAAGGCGAGTATAAGTGTAACTTTGTGAGTTCAAAAAAACACATAACCTCGTTTGCTACATTTGAGTACCGATTAATCATGATAGAGTATCTAAATCCACTTATATTGAGCTAATCAACAAAATATATGCTCATCTTGTAGATTGGAAGGTGAAGACATATTGTTGGCAGCTCAAATCACCCTGGTGCAATCAGTCTTCTCCTCCCTCCCAAGTCACAACTCACATGATGCAAAACAGCTTCTTACTTGCCATCATTTGTAAAATGGCAATGTCTATTTTTATCCAAATTTTTTCAAGATTCTTTTATATTATCCAAACCTATTAAAATGATATTAATTAATCAAATCTTTTGTAATGCATAAAAATATTAGCCACTTTTACGTTATCGTTAATAATTTTGTAACTATTTTCTTAATTAAAATACTAAAATTTTGGAATGTTGACCTTCATGTGTCTCTTCCAAGTCAGTATCACGTTGCCAAGTCAATATTACTAACAAAATTGCTAACTAAAAGTTAACATTTGGTTAGTTTTTAGTATTTTAATAGGTTTGGACAATATAAAAGAATCTGAAATTTTTTTAATAAAAAATAGATATCATCCTTTGTAAAAATATCAATAAAAAGATATGATGCTTTATTTGGGACAACATAGAGGCAAGCCGAAAGATCCACTAGGTTTATTGAGAGACCCTCTGCCGACTAGGGATGGCAATGGGTCGGGTTGGGTCGGGTTTTGCCAAACCCAAACCCATGGGTTTATCTTTGAAAAAAACCCGGGGTAAAACCCACTGGGTTTGAAAAACTCAAAACCAACCCAACCCGTTGGGTATCCGCGGGTTCATGGGTACCCACGGGTTTTGTCGTATAAAATTTACAATTACAAGTTTTTATCAAAATTAAAGTCAAATATCAATCTCTCAATACAAATTATCCATATATAAAACACCATTTTAGAAAATTCAAGCAAATCACAAATTAATTATACAAATTGTTCAACACCAATCTAGAAAACTCAAGAAAATTGAAGCAAATCACAAATTATCCATAAATAACATGTTTAATTGAAAACTTCTTCCTTTCAATTAAGTTTCTTTACTCTCCACTCCATAACATCAACTTCATTCTACACAATTAAAAAAAAAAATTAGACATGTCTCCCCAAACATAAATAAGATTAGTTGTTTAGAATTTTAAATATACCGAAAAAATTAATTATATGGGTGAGCGGGTACCCACGGGTCGGGTTTACCTAATCCCAAACCCAACCCAACCCAGTGATAGTGAACGGGTTTAAACCCAAACCCGACCCAAAACCCGTCAACACGAATTTTACCCGCGTTGACCAGGTTGGGTCGGGTGGGTACCCGTGGGTTCGGGTTTTGTTGCCATCCCTACTGCCGACCAAAGATCGAAATCGAAGGCACTTTGAGTCTGTGATGAAAAGCGGGCCGTTTCGATCAATGAGTTTTTGCTTCTAAGTTTGGGCCCAAATTAAAAACTTCGTTCTTGATCTTGGATCTTAATTGAAAATAAAATATTTTTGGAAAAATAAGAAAGACACCGAGAGAATCGAGTCGATCGAGATCACCGAAGGAAGAACGATAAGCGTCCCCGTCGCCGCCGTCGCAGCTCACTTCCCCCAGCCCTGGCAGCTCGCTGGATCGGAAGAAAGATAGAGAAAGAGATCGGTGGATACCGGACAGGTGGAGAAGCAAAGCTGGCTTGAGAGGTCCAAGGCACCAGTGGATCTCGGAGGTAGAGAGCGGTTGGCAAGGATTCCTTTTGGCTCTCCATTGAATCGAAACTCGCTCTGCTCTCAAGATCTTCGTCTTCCCTGAGGTATTTTGCAAATTAGCTGCGTTGTATTATGAGATCCTAGGCTTTGGTTATCCATCTCAGTTTGTGTCCTTAATCGGGTTTTTGTTGAACTTGGACATTCTGCTTGCATTTCTTCTTTGCATTCTCAGGATGCATAAGTTAACCTCCTCTGTTGATTCCTTACATATATGCTCCCGTTTTGCAATAGCTTCGAGTAATCCTTGCTATTGACGCACTTGACGCACTTGATAATTTGCTGTATTTAAGAGTGGGTTTAACTTGTTTTCTTCAAGGGATGCTTCTGTCAATGGTGGCTTTGTGTTAGAAAGGTGTCTATCTTGCTTTATGTTCGTCCATTCTGATTTAAATATGTGTTGTAATCACTGTGTTCGGCACAGCTGGACTCGGTGCTAGTTAAAGGATGTTTGATTTGTAGTTTAGATGCTTTTGCCGCTCATTTGTAAACCTGAGCAAAGTTTGGGTGCTTCTTGCATGAGATCCGGCTTTAGTTAAGGATTTTGGAGGTTGTTCGAGTGGAAACGGTGAAGTAGGTGATTGTCATGGTTTGCATGTGGATTGATGGTTCATTCTTGGTGAAGATGAAGCCACATCTTTTTTTGTGCTGTTTAACAGAATGCAGGACCTTTGCTGCTGCGAGTCTCTTGTTTCAAACTATTTCCACTCTGGACCTTGACCTCATTCATTTTCTGTCTAATGTCGAGGATAAAAGATCTTAGCCATGTATGTTATCGGTTTCTGCTAATGTTTGTGCTTTTGCGGGGTATTTTTCTCCGATACTGCTTAGTATTAGCATATATCATCCAGTTGACGTCCCTTCATTCGGTTTAAGTTTTTTCAGCTTCCTTATTTCTTAAAGTTTGAAGGTTTTTTTTAGGACTATTGTGATAATAAATGAGGTATGATGGATCCTTTAGCTATGTCTAATTTTTGCGTGAGTAAAACTGGTGATAATGTATACTAGTTTCAATTTCATTATCTTGTCTGATCTTGACATTTTACATCTTCAAATGGATAGTTGTAGCAGCTAAAATTCTTTCCAGCAAGGTTGTTGATGGCTCGAGGTGCTTCTATTTTTTATTTTGTATTCCAATCATATGATCATCTCAATGATTTCCGAGCAAAGAATTTATCCTGATGTTCTGTCTTCCAGAATTCTGCCACTTCTCCTATGGGCTTTTGCTTTTCATGCTTCTGTACATTGCTGCTGCAAATGAAATTATTGGGTTGGAAGAAGTATAAAAATGGCTCATAAATTTGCCTGGCCAATTTCTGTTCTTTCCTGACTTTATTTGTCCTCCTTTGACATAGCAATATTAGGTACAATAAAGCCAACATCGGTTGATGCACTTTGCCCTTCGTTTGCCTTTTTCTCTTGTTTGTGGTCAACTTGATTATGCTATGTTTATTGCTACTGATCAAATAGATACTTCGCAAGATTTGGGATTGGGTGTATGAATCTAGGTTGGTTAATTCTCTATCCATTTTATTTTGTGTTCTTGGTAGGTAATCTATTTCAACAAGTTACCATGGAAGCCGACTCCCTGGATTTGCAACCCGAACCCTTACCACCATCCAGTGATCCACTATCCAACAAATTTGCCTCCCTCAATGACCTGGCTCATGAGCTGGCATCCCTCCAAGACCTTTCCAACCGTGGTTCTTGGCGGTCGATTCTCGATAAGGTTGCTCGAGCACGGTCTCTATCCCTACTGACAACGCCTCATGATCACCTCACGTATTTGGCTTATAACGTCCTTGCTTTCACCAAGCTTCGACGTTTCAAGGAAGCTTTGACAGAACTTGAAACAGTTGATGATTTCGATAGTCACCACTACCGGTATGAAACTTACCCCAAAATCTACCCAACCCGGTCAGGTTCCATGGTTCCTTTCTCCCTCCGGTGGCTTCACGCATTGGTTCCTATAAAATTGGGTGACCGGCAAGAGGGATTGGACCGGCTATACCTTCTGCTCGATTTTGTTCGAGGGAAGATGAAGGAAAAGGAGGAGGTAGCCGCTTCGCTTGATGTGTGGAGAAAGAGAGAGGTCTTTGTTGTGAACAACATTGTTACGGAGCACTTGAAAGGTAAAGAGCATGGGGTGTGTTTGGATTTGATCAAGTGCCTGCTGGCTCGGGGGGATTCGGACCCGCATTTGTTGTCGAAGTTAGGGTACATACAGATGCAAATCGGGGATCTAGAGGGCGCAAAGGGCTCGTTTGATGAAGTGGAGAAGCAGAATTCGCTGAATGAGACTGAATTGACAAATATGGTAAGCAGGAACAAGGCTTTGATGTACTTGGTGGAGAAGGATTATGTCTCTGCTGTGAGAGAGTACGACGCCTGCATCGAGCGGGATGCCATGGATGCTGTGGCAATCAACAACAAGGCAATTTGCTTGATGTACTTGAGGGACTTGTCAGATTCGATAAAGGTGCTGGAGACTTCACTCGAGAGGGTGCCCACGGTGGCACTGAACGAGACACTCGTTGTGAATCTGTGCAGCATGTACGAGTTGGCATACGTTAATCACTCCGACATCAAGAGAACTCTGAGCAATTGGATTTCAAAGGTCGCCCCCGATGATTTCGATTCCTCTTGTACTAGGATTTGAGGTACTTCAGTTTCTCCACAGCTTGCGCCTGCCTTTTACGATTGGTATTAACTGTGTTCTTTTGAACTTGCGTGTGGGGCAGTACCGGTGGCAAATTGTCTTTTCTTAACTTTTAGACTTTAGAGCTCTCTCTGTCTTTTTCATTGATCGAATAAATTGAATTCTGCAGCAGATTTATTTGGTCTACATGATTGTAAGCTCATTGTTTGGGTGAATCAGGTAATGCTGCTACATGGTGTAAATTCTTCAAAGATTGGCTTACCATTTTGAGGTAGATGCCCAGATTTGTAGCCAAACCTCGCAGCATAGAGCGCCTTCATTCGAATGTGCAGCAATGGAAAAAGTTGCAGAATCAGATCGCTTCAAGTTTGTGGCGGCTACCTTGTTTTGCTTTTTCAGGAACTTGTTTATGGCCAGATTCTCATATGAGAGGAAAGCAACAGGGTGGTGAAGAAGCTCTTTGCAAATAAAATTGTTATCGTATGCCTACCTATAAAGCCAGCAGTGAAAGTAGAACAAGTTATTGTATTTTTTGTTCCAATTATGTCCTCGTTCCTTTTTTATAAACCCCAAACTAGCCTCTCTTTTTTAGTCCAACTTTTTCGTCTCTTCTTTCCCAATGATCCCAATAACTAGGGGTGATAAACGGTTAGTCGGTTATCGGTTTTAACCGATAACCGAACCGATAAAGTCGGTTAGTGGTTAACCGATAACCGCTACTTCCTTATTGATTTCGGTTTCGGTTAGTAGTATTTTGGTTAGTGGTTAACCGCTAACCGATTAATCGGTTAGCGGTTAACCGATAAGAAAACCGATAACCGCCTACTAGTGCGACTACATGGTTTTTTACTTTGGCTAAGGGAAAAATTTGTAAGATTCAAAACCAATCAAAGTTGCAATTCCAAACATCACAATTCTCACCTATTGCAAATAACACTCCATCAAGAGTCTCAAATGTTTTTAAGAGTTAGAACTTGAAAGTCACCCCTCTCTAAATCCCCTTTGCACTCGATAGAGTGAACCTTAGGTTGTTGATGACTATGGGCTAGATGAAGATCTTGGAGTAAATGATGAATATGGGCTAGATGAATTGGAGCGAGATCCTCGGATCATTTAGGTTGATGATTTGGAGATAATGAACTTGTTATTTGTGTCTTGTTGTGATTGTGACTTGTGGTTGAATTGTGGGCATGTAGACTTTATGTTGTGGAGTTGTGGTTGATTGTGTGGTTGCTTTAGGCTTTATGTTCAATTGATTTAGATGACTTTATGGTGTGTGATTATAGAGGCTGAAACAAAAGCAGGTCACTCAAAATTGAGGGTGAATCATTAAAAAAGGTGGTTGAAATTCGATTTTGGGTGGTCGGTTTCTGAACGAAAATCGAGAAAGTGAACCAGAACCTGCGATTTCGGTTAACCGCAAGGGAAAACCGAAACCGATGTTTGCGGTTTTCGGTTAACCGAAGTCTCTGTCGGTTTCGGTTTCGGTTAGTGATCTTGGGACAATTTTGGTTGCGGTTAACCGATATTTCGGTGCGGTTAAACCGAAACCGCACCGACTAACACCCCTACCAATAACCATTATTTGTTCCCCTTATTACCTTAGCTATGTTTAACACTAACAAAAACTCACTATGTCATGACACACTATTCTATTAAAAGACATATAAACTCCGTACATATTAGTACCATATACATTTTTTTAAAATATTTTTATAACTAATTTGGATATTTTAACATACTATAATGTTAAAACATGGTATAGAAAACATCATATATATAGATATATTAATACAATAATAAAATATATATGTAGACCAAGCATGTATACTGTATAGCAAGAGATGGGGTTAAGACTTAAGGACAAATTGGTAAATAAAAAATACTAAGCATATCACATTCAAACGTGAAATTTCATACAAATACCACATATCAAATAACAAGTATAGTGATATGTAATATTTATGTGGTAATTGGTAGGGCTGTTAGTCGGTGCGGTTTCGGTTTAACCGAACTGCACCGTCGGTTAGCCGAGACCGAAACCAACCTGTTTCCCTCAACCGAAGCCGACATTGACGCTATCCTCGGTTAACCGGCAACCGAAACCGCCGGTCTCGGTTTGAGTGGGCGGTTAGCCGAAACCGCCAGAGTCGGCCGGTTTTCGGTTTCGGTCAGAAACCGACCAATAAAACCGAGATCCAGAACCCTGCACACAGCACACCTGCTGCCTTTTTTCTAAAAACCTGCTGCTGCCCTTTTCTAAAAACCTACTGCTCTATTATCAAATCAGAACATAAAGTCTAACCCAACCACAATTAAATCACAAGTCAAGTCATCATTCATCACACACCATAAATCTTTTACATGCCAACAATTCAACAGTCACAAGTTCACAAATCACAACAAGCCACAAATAACAAGTTCATTCTCCAAATCATCAATCTAAATTCGGGGATCTCGCTCCAAATCGTCTAGCCCGATGTCATCATTTACTCCAAGATCTTCATTCTCATCATCAGGATTGACATCAGAATCATATTCAGCAACATCATCAAGTCCATCAACTATGGGGGTAGGAGTAGAAGTAGGATCAACTGGAAAACTTTGGGTTCCATCAAACTCACTCCCACTTTGATTAGCCATTCGAGCTTGTAAAACCTCATAAACTACATGAAAAGTAGATTATAATGAGAAAACTAAGATAGGCAAATTGTCAAATATGAAAACTAAAGCATAATTAGAAGGAAGAAATGATATATTACCACTTTCAAACTCAGTTAGCTCTTCGAGATCCTCTTCATCATGAACCAATTGGGAATCAAGGAATCGTATCCAATCTTCGGCACAGATTAATGCCTCCACCATCTTCGGGGTCAAGGAGGACCTAAATGAGAATAGCACCCGACCTCCTGTGCTGAAAGCAGACTCGGAGGCAACAGAAGAAATCGGAATGGCCAAAATATCCCGCACCATTTCAGAAAGCACGTGATATCTAATGCTGCTGACGGACCACCATTTAAGAATGTCAAAGCTATCATCCTCGTCATCGAAAAGAACAACATCATTGACATCATTCAGATAGATGTCCAGCTCTGAAGAACTTCGAATACCCGCATCAAGCTCTTCTTTCCTCAACTTCTTGAACTCAAAAGTCATCTTCCCTCCCATCACAACACCACTACTCGAACTCCCACTAAGAGTGGTTGTGGAGGTGGCAACAGCATCCGGCGCACTTGAGGGTGGAGACTGGAGCTTCTTCTTGTAATCTTCAAACAAGTCACTCATCTCTTGTTTGATATCCTTAGTCATTTGCTTCCCATTTTCTTGGCCATACATCTGCTTCAAGACAAATTCAACATAGGCCAACTTGCGCCTCGGATCTAACACACATGCAATGTAGATCACACGGTTCATCCTAATATTCTCCTCATTATCTGCCTCATACCAATACTTTGCAACCTTCGCCTTAATTCTCACTGCCATCCGTTGTATCTCGGCATCTTCATCTTGCTCCAATGTGCATATGACCTCATAAATATCTGCAAGATACTTGAAGAATAGATGCATAGTCACATATGAAGTTCCTGTAAACACAGAAAAGTTCAAGAGAGTAGATATTAGTATAACATAAATTGAAGTAATAAGAAAAAGAACATATAGTTCGCCTTTAAAGATTTAGAAATATGTCATACCAGATACACGCGTAGTCAAATCACAGAAAAACTTCAAATACTTCATCAGCCTTCTCACACTGCTCCAATCTTCTTGTGTTGGCACACCTCTCTTTGTGTCCACATACTTCTTAAAACTCTCATCTTGTCCATATAAGAAAGTAAATACTTTCTCAAATCTTTCTGCAGACTCTAGCATGAGGTAGGTGGAGTTCCACCTTGTGGGAACATCCAAACACACAGGTTTCTTGGTCTCAATCTTAAGAAAATCAGCAGCCGCCTTGAATCTGGTAAGTCTTGATGGAGATGACTTGACCCACTTCACAACATCTCGAACCCTTTCAACCGAAATCCCCACTTCTTTCAAGCCATCAGTGACAACTAAGTTGATGATGTGAGCAACACTACGAAAATGCAAGTACCTCCCATCCAACATATTTGTCCCCCACTCATGCATCTTCTCTATCATGTAACTAGCCACAACATCATTCGCACTAGCGTTGTCCATTGTGATGCAACACAAACTCTTGATCTTCCACTCATCTAGACAAGTACACAATGTCTCTGCTATATCAACTCCAGTATGACTAGTCACCTCAACAAAGCAAATCACCTTCTTCACCAACTTCCAGTCTTTACCAACATAATGAGCAGTCACACACATATAGTTTGCATTCTGAACAGAAGTCCATGTATCTGTCGTTATCGAAATTCTTCCTTTGCATTTTGTGACAAAGAAATCTCTCAGGATATCTTTTCTTTCAAGGAAGATACGATAACAATCTTCTCTAATAGTAAGCCTACCAGGTATCACAAACAAGGGTTGTGCCAATGCCATAAATCGTCTAAAGCCTTCATGCTCGACATATCTAAAGGGAAGCTCATCCAATATAATCATCTCAGCTAGACCAATCCTAGTTTTAGTCTGATCAAACTTCCATGTCGAAAGAGATCCTACCTGACCACCAGTAGCTATAGATGTTGACTGCAGATTCAACAAAGTTTGAGAGCTACCACTCTCCTTTAGCCTTTTCCTCGCACATGCCCTCCTATGTGTATTCATTGCACTTGTCCCATTAAACTTCGGATGTGCTGCAATCTTCGTCTTGCAGAATATACATTCTCCAAATGGGTAGCCATCAACCAGTATCGCTCTGAAGACATTCCAACATTCAGCTTTCCTCTTCTTTGATGCTGCATCATTTGCACTTCCCGTTGCATCTCCCCCAGCTTCCACATTTGCATTCTCGACTCCAGCCGGCGCTGCTACATTATCTGCTGCAATACCTTCTACATTCTCAGCTGCAGCCGCCACATTTGGAGTAACTCCTCCGACTGTAGTAGCTCCGGTAGAAGGAGTAGCAGGTTGCGAAGGAACCCGCGGCTGAGAAGCCGGAGGAGGAGCACCTCTTGCTCCTTGTTCTCCTCTTCCACGACCACGACCACGTGGTTTCTTAACACGTCCACCTCTATCCCTGTTTTAATCAATAAAAACATGTAAATAGATGTAACATCAACAATTAGCAAACCAAATCTTTACTAACTACCAATCACCAAACCATGAATCTACTAAGTTATCACTAGTTGTTGGCTTGTTTGTTACTACGCTTCACATGACCAAAAACCAACCCTTTTATAGCCAAACCGACCCTGAGGATCAAGCAGATCGGGAAATCTCTAAAGCCAAGCTTACACCCCTGTGGGCTGTGGAAAGGTACATTCATATTACAAATAATTTTTTTGTGTGCCATACATTCCGTCCCAGGCAACGAACATGAAAGGAGAAGCACAAACCAGTTGAAGACCAGATAACCAGACATTCAAAGCCCGAGTGAAAATGAAGGCTTTCCATTCTTCGCATCATCAGCTACTAATTAATTAATACAAAGAATAATTAACTACATGCATAGAGTACTAACTACTATTGTTCTCGATCTCTCTTTTCCTAGCTCTTTTGCCGGTCTATAATCCACAAATCCCTACTAATATTTTTGTTCTGTTGGAACCTACATTGGTGATGGTGAATCGGTGATAGAACAGGGCAGAAGACGGCGGGAGAACAGGGCAGAAGACGGCGGGATTCCGGGGCAGAAGACGGCAGGAGTCGAGTTCCGGGAGGGAGTTCTGGGTGGGAGTTCAGCGACGACGACTTCTGTTGGAGGACAGCGGCGACGCGAGGGCGGCGATGCGACGAAGGCTGGGAGCGGCGGGGACGAGACTGGGAGAGGCGGGAGGGCGGCGGTGCGACGCGACGAAGGCTGGGAGCGAGAGGAGTGAGGACGGCGGCACGGCGCTGCGACGGCCGACGAGCTCGACGGGGACGAGGTGACTGGAGGCGGCCGGTGAGGGTTGGGGCTACTGGCTAGGGTTCAGAAATGGGGAGGAGCGGCGGGTGAGAGGGCCACGATTTTGGGATTTAGGATTTTAGGGTTCATTTAGGTCAGGGCAGGGGATCAGGGAAGGAGAATCCGATGTGTCTGGGTCGTCGGTTTGTGCGGTTAATTTGTACGGTTGCGGTTTTTAGCCGCTAACCGCTACAATTGCCCACTGGCCGGTGACATCCAACCGCAACCGCAAACCGCACTCAACCGACGGTTTTCGGTTGGTCAGTAAACCGACGGTTTCTGTTCGGTTTCGGTGGTAACCGAAAAACCGGAGACCGATTAACAGCCCTAGTAATTGGTCCAAATAACAGGTTTGACAAATACTATATCCAAACGACCTATTAATATAGATTGTACACAATTTAATAATCCGGTGTAAAATAACATAAACATAATCGAATCATATCACTTGTTAAACCGATGTAACGTTATAAACCGATTTGACAACATTGCCCAACAAAGAAAACCTTCGAAGAAAAATAAAAATCGGAAAAGGCGGGAAACACCAAGCTCCGTTGAGGAGCGTGATTGAGAGGCATTGTTTTTCGAAAGTCTTGCAAACCCTAATTAAAAATGGGCGCCTAAGTCGTCATCTAGCTACCCGCGTCCTCCTCCACTCTCCTTCCACCGTCCCATCTCCCCGTTCCCCTTTCCCAGTCTTCTTCCATCATCATCTGCTCCAAACGCGCCGCCTCCAGTTTCACATCTCCCGGCCATGGTTGTGCTTCGGACCCGAGCAGTCACTCCGCAAACCCTAGCCAAAGACTCCACTCCCTCCGGCGATCGACAATCCCCCGCCGTTCATCAACCTGAACCTCCGGTCCCGGTCTCGGTCTCTCCGTCCTTCACTCCCCTTTCCGCACCCCGACGGAGCGGCCGGCTTGCTTCCAGATCACCGACCGCCTATGAAACCCCTCAGACTTCCGGACGCAAGAGGAGGCGTGCTTCAGGCGGTGTCAGTTCGATTGCGGAAAATAAAGCGATCGAGGAAGGGAAACCAGCGGCGCAGGGAGTTTCTAACGAAGGTAACGTGATTGCTGATAGGATTGAACCGGAAGCGGAAGAGGAAACCCCTCAGACTACCGAGCGAAGGAGGAGTGCTTCAGCCGGTGTCGGCTCGATTGCGGAAAATAAAGCGATCGAGGAAGGGAAACCAGCGGTGGTGGGAGTTTCTGACGGAGGTAACGTGATTGCTGATAGGATTGAACAGGAAGCGGAAGAGGAAACCCCTCAGATTACCGGGTGCAGTAGGGGGAGTGCTTCAGCCGGTGTCGGGGCGATTGCGGAAAATAAGGCGATCGAGGAAGGGAATCCGGCGGCGGAGGGAGTTGCTGACGGAGGTAATGTGATTGCTGATAGGGTTGAACAGGAAGTGGTAGAGGAAACCCCTTCGACTACCGGGCGCAAGAGGGGGAGTGCTTCAGCCTGTGTCGGCTCGATTGCGGATAATAAAGCGACCGAGGAAGGGGATCAGGCGGTGGAAGGCGTTGCTACCGTGATTACTGAGAGGGTTAAACTGGAAGAACGCGAAAATGATGGGAAATGTTTGAGTTTGGATGAGAATCGGAGTGTTAACCGCACTAGAAGATGGACTAGCGAAGAGAAAGGGAAAGGGAAATTGGGGGAAGTTGGCAGTTTAGAGACTGCTTTTGGAGGGAAGGGGATTTCTATTGAAAATGATGTGAAAAATGGAGAACTACGAGTTCCAGGAACTTTGATTATCAATGAGGGCGGGGCAGAGCGTGAAGGTAGACGAAACTGTAATCAATCTTCCACCGGTGTCACGGGAAAGGTTAGCAGAGAAGAGCAGGAGAGATTGAATGAGAAAGGTAAGGAGTTGGAATCTAAAATTGAGTTCTTGAAGAGTGAAATCAAACGGACAATGGATGCTCTGTCGAAGAAGCTGGAATCGGGTTCTAGAATGGTCCAATTCAAGGACGCAGCACGAAAGAATGCTGCTCGATTTGCTCATTTTGAAGCTCAAGAGAATCAGCAACATCAGGAGGCTCCTCCTGGTGTTCAAGCAGGTTGGCAATCTACTGAGGGAGAGCAGAAGGTTGAAGATTGGCCTGGTCCATTCTCGACTGCTATGAAAATTATTAGGGATAGATCAAATAGGATGAACTTGCAGAGTGGGAAACCCACTTCTGACAAGCCCAATTCTTTTGCAATAAACTGGACTCCTAGAGAAGATGGTGGTGGCTGTAATCGCTCAAAAAAGATGGTTCCTTCGCTGCAACAGCTGTGCACGGAAGGTCTTGCCAAATATGCTGATGCAATCACTTCACTAGAGTGTGTCCCTGATGCTTTCAGACACAGGCTTTCCCAGTTGCTTTGCGATTCTCGAAAGATGAATACAAATTTTTTGAATCTTATTGCTTGTGGATCTCCTTCTGAAATACGAATCAGGGATTGTTCCTGGCTAACGGAGGAAGAATTCACAGATTGCGTTCAGGGCCTTGACACCAGCAATTTAACGGTATGTGTAAATGAAAGCTTCAATTTACGAACAGCATTAGATTTTAAAGTTGAAATCAAGTAGTGAGTTCCATCAACCAACTGATTGGGGTTGTAGTAATAGGTCCCCTTGGTGCAGAATTTTGAAATTGCTCAGCGTTCTTTTTGCTTTGTGCAATTGATTACCATGTTGGTCTTTTTTGTCTTAGCCAGAATCAATGTTTCAGTTGGTGTTGTTTGCACATGGTATTGCAACGCCCCCATGCATTGTGTTCTTTATTATCAACAACTTGTTGTTATGTAGTTGACTGGCGTTTTGTCTTCTTTTCAGGTTCTACAACTTGACTATTCTGGTCGAGGCATGCCTGATTATGTTTTACTTGCTACCTTAGCTGGGTCTCCAAGCAGCCTGCCTGTATTAAATACATTATCCCTGAACGGTGCTTATCGCCTTTCAGATGTTGGGATTAGAGCACTTGTTTCTGCTGCTCCTTCACTAAGATGCCTGAATCTTAGCCAATGCTCCCTTGTTTCTGCAACTAGTATCAGCATTTTAGTAGACTCGTTGGGTTCTACTTTGCAGGAATTATACCTTAATGACTGCCAAAGCATTGATGCCATGCTTATGTTACCTGCATTACTGAGGTTTGAACAACTTGAAGTTCTATCAGTGGGTGGTATCGAGACAGTTTCTGATGACTTCATCATTTGCTTTGTTTCTGTGTGCGGACATGCGATGAAGGAGCTTGTTCTTTCTGATTGTGTGTAAGCATCTTTTTTTCCTGAAAGATAGTTCGTCTCCACTCTCACTTTTCTATTTTCTATGCTGAATATCGGAAATATGATGCAGAAAATTGACTGATTCTTCCCTGAAAGTTATAGCTTCAGCATGTCCTCGCCTGCAGTCGCTCAACCTTGCAAATGTGCGGCAGTTGACTGATTCTGCACTGGGATATCTTGCAAATGGGTGTCAAGAAATCCAAACGTTGAAACTCTGTCGCAACAACTTCAGGTACTTTATATAACGATTTGGGAATCTTTCGGTGACAGATTGAAGTTATTGATAGTTTCCAGGGGCAGTGGTGGTATTTTTTATACCCTTTTCTCTTGTACTTTTTGAACAGTGATGAAGCTGTTGCCGCATTCATAGAAGCCTCTGGGGAGTCATTGAAAGATCTTTCACTCAATAATGTCAAGCAGGTGAGAGTTAGTTTGAAGAAGATTGGACCAAAATACGATTTTGATTCAACTCATAGTCGTCATTTTTATTCTACTTTATCCAATTTAGATTCGATTCTGGACTTTACTGTTTGCACTCGCCCTATTTGGAGGTCTTGGCAGAGAATCCATTGCAAGAAAGCAATCACATCGGTGGCTTATCTTGTTTGTCTGTCCTCTTATATTTCTTATCAGGTTAGCCACAACACTGCACTATCAGTTGCTAGACGAGCAAGAAATTTGCAGAGTTTGGATCTATCATGGTGCCGGAACTTGGCAGACGAGGCGGTTGGATTGATAGTGGATAGCTGCCTGTCACTGAAGGTGCTCAAGATCTTCGGGTGTGATCAGGTAAACAGATATAAATCAAATTATCATAGGCATAACAATTTTTCCATCTCATTTGAAACACCTGACATGAGTGATTGTGTTTTATTTTGTATTTTTTTCGGAGCAGCTGACAGATGTGCTACTAAGTGGTCACTCGAATCCGGTAGTGGAAATCATCGGGATGAAGATGTCTCCAGCATTAGCAAATGTCAGAGTGAGTGATGCACAGGCCTTCCCTGCCCATTATACATCGGTCCTCTCCTCCATGTAAACTGGAACTTCTGTTCGATACGGAGGATCCACCTGTGGTGAACATAGTTAGTGGGTAGCGAGACGTTGATTTTTGTACATTCGGATTAGGCAGGTACTAAGAAGCCATTTTTGGGGGAGGTCGAAGACCGTGTTCTAATGATTACTGCAATGTAATTACCTTACTGAAGGAAACGCCAATTTTGAAGGCCGCCCAGAAACATTGTTTTGCGTTACAAATAGCAATAACTGGAGTTATGAATCAATAGAATGAGAAAGCATGTATTTATACAGAGCTGCAGTAGTCGCTGGCAGCAAGGAATGAACAATCAGGTTTATGTACGAAATGCTGTTCTCGAACTGTAATGGATCGATACACCATATTGTAATGCTTTCCCTCTCGATAAATGCTTGCGCAGAGGTTGGTTCTCAATTGCCAAATCTAAGGCTACACATTATCAAATAAAATTCCTGTCAAAAGTAGTAATCAACTGTCCTATTCACTGCTATCTGTACAGAAAACTCATTTCCCGTATCTTTACAATCTGCAACGTAGGAGGAATGTGTTGTCTTCTACCAATCCATCACTTGCCTCTTCAATCATCTGGCAGACACATAACCGAAGTCAGAAGGGCAAACAAACAAGAAAGAGCAAGTAATTAGGCAGCAGCTGATAAATGGTTCACTACTGCACTAACCTTGAATCCCATCTTGTCGTACAACTGCTGTGCTAGTTTGTTGTTTCTATCAACATGAACATACAAATGTTCCACACCTGCCACCCGAAGTAACAGTACTCACAATTAAAGCAGCATCAAAATAATTACGAACCGTTACTATTTACTACCGTCCTGTGATTTGATTACCTACCACTAGACTTCGCCGTTTCAACTACGAACTGCATCATATTAGTTGCTATCCCCTGGCGGCGAGCAGACAATGAGACCACCAAGTTGGAGACGTAGCTGTATCTGTCTTCCCCTCCTCCGTCGATGTTGCAGAAGTGAGGAGCCTTTCCATGCTCCTGTCACATGCAAATTTAGAACCGAAATCCTCATTCAATGAGAAAAAAAGGGATCATACATATACCCCAGGGAAGATCTCTCCAGGCAGCAAACTGCGAATGCTTAAATCCAGAGTCCCAACCACACTCTTCAGTACTGTGCGTTTCACCTTCTCATCTTGCTTTCTCAGCTAAGAAAAGAAACGAGGAGCATTTTGTAATGGGTTCCTTACGCTGCAAATGCAAAGATATAGAAGTATAAACTAAGGAAACACGTACTGTAATTATGCACTTAGACTTTTGGCCATATGGACCAATGAGTCGCCTTCTTATGGCATGGAACTCCTGCCACCAGTTAAGGAAAGAGCCAGTAATAAGAAAAAAAGATAATCTAGTGATATCCCAATTTATACCACAAGAAGCATACTGAAGAAGAGTAAAGAAAAGTCCACGAATGCTACCTGATCTGCATATTTCTTCTTCAGACTATCAGCATATCTATGTTCATCAGATATAGGCCAACCAAAACCATTAGCGTCTGATTAGTGATTACTGGGCTAAAATCCTAATCTTGATCCAAGACTTAATCTTGTCAACGAATCATTATAATGCATTCAAATATACTGCACTACAATCAAGTTTTTATGTGAAAGGTGATCAATTTGAACCAGCAAGGAGAATTTCGAGGTCCTTATTTAGCAAGGACAAGAATAAAGAAAGAGGTTCATAGCAATACAGAATATTGGGAACTAGTAAAAGCAGTTCAGCTGGATTTACCGCACCTGTCTTTGTCTCGATTCTCCCAGAGACTTTCTGCTCTCAGCCAGGCTGCTGTCTGCAGTCAATTACAAGAAACGACCATTGGAGATATTGCTGAGCAGCAGGATTAACTCAATGAGCCACGAACACATAATACTGTGTCCAAGAATCAAAACAAGAAATGGGGAGACCAATATTATTTTGAAAGTTTCCTCCTAGAAAACACCAAGAACCCAGATGCAGGAAATCCAATAGCAGCAGAACCCAGATGAAGAACCCCAAAAGTAGCAGAGGAACCCAGATGCGGAATAAGCAAGGAATTGATGGATAAGGGCCTTACCCAGTATTCTTCATCAATTAAAGCCTCTCTAGCGACGAATTGCCCAAACTCCAGCTTGTTAAGCTCCTTCAAATCCTGTTCGGGTATCTGAAGGCGGTCAAAGCGCAGATCAGGTTGCCTGGGCGTATCCCATTTTGGATCAAAAGCTGCGGGGTGATGTATGTGTAACGAAAGCTCTTCCCTCTTCTTGGTCTGGAAAGACCCAGAATCCATCGACCTGAAACTCGAAACAAAGAAATCCAAAAAGTAACAGAGAATCATCAAATTCAAAATAAAATCCGATCAATGGCGGCCCCTAATTTTACCACCGAGAACGTGGAGGAAAACAAGTAACAGAAAGAAACGAGCAAATAAACAGAAAAAGTGTTGCGGGATTCGTACATTCTCCAAGAAGCGGTGACTGTGGAGAGCTTGTGAATGTTCCTGGAGGCAACAGAAGCCGGGAAGGTCAAGAACTCCGGCGGGGCGTGAATTGAAACAGTGGTAGTCGGCATAGTTGCAAGAACTTCTTTGAATCGGCTTTTCCTCCCAAGAAATTAAAATCCTCTGAAGCAGAGAGAAGAAGAGAAGGGAAATGGGGATGGATGGTTTCGTTTCGTTCTGATTAGTTGGTTCGTCGCTTTCCAAATTACGCTCTCTCAGACTCTGACTCTGTCGTTGCGGGTGACAGAAGGGGAAAGCTAAAAAGGAAGGAGAAAAGGCCGGCGAAGTATAGATAAACTGTTTTCCGGTTGTAGTGGGCCTAGCCATTTTGGATAAGGTGAAAATAAATAATAAAAATGTATATATTCTTATAATCCATTTACCCTTCATACTAAATTTCCCCCGAGAATCTTACACACCGTTTGGTACCAAATGAATATAGAATTCATTTCGTTTTAAAATGAATTACTTTGAGATTTCGCATGAATCTAATAGATTTATCATGCATAGTACAAGGCATGGTTGGCATTGACAACAGGTACAACAGGGTCTAACTGGCACCGGTTAAAAAACTCAGCCTAGTTATTCTGCTAACTGCATAAGTTGTTAGTATATACTAACTAATATCCAAAATGTATGAACATGTATCCAAGTTTGCTGAGTATCTAGATAGCACAGACTAGTATTCAAAACATCACAAACTAGTATCCAGATAGCAGATACCAACTAATATCCACATTCAACCAACTAGTATCCAATATTGATACTCTTATGTGTTATTTGGATACTTTTATGTGTTATGTGGATACTAATTATGCGTTGTATGGATACTATTCTGTGTTGTCTAGATATTTGTTTGTGAATTTGAGATAATAGTTGATTCGTGGTGGATATCAGTTAGCAAACTTTGAATACTAGTATGTGATCTCTAGATACTTTAGTACTTAGATACTAGTTCATGTATTTTGGATATCAGTTAGTATCTGCTAACGAATTTTCAAGTTAGCAGATTAACTTTTCCCTAAAAAACTATCTGGAATGTTTCCGGTATTTGCCTACATGAATAATTTCTGACTTTTAAACAAAATGATGTTGTTTTGGTTAATTTTATTAACAAAATCATATCCTTACCATACCGAATCGACTAGTATTATTGACATTAAACCAATAACGAAAATTTAATTTGTTTCTTGAATTTGAAAGTAAAATGTTGATGTTATTTGTTTGATTCAAGTATGAATAGTTAGATATTGTGTTATTTGTTGAATTAAAGTATGAACTTTTGAATTAAAGCAAATAACATTGATGCTTCTAGAAGGGGTTTTCTCATAAGCATCGATGAACTAAAGAAAACAGTGATAATAACATCGAAAATCTCAAGCAATAGATGATACAAACATATATTAACTCAAGCATCGATGATAAGATCATTGAACACAATAGGCATCTCATTGAATCGTAGAAAGTAATACATAAAGCATCAACGAGTCACTTCCCTAAACAATTTTGAGCTAGCCGTATGCATAGGAGAATAGGAAGACATCACCAATGATACATGCATCAATGGTGAGGACTCCTTGTCGAGCTCCAGCAGGGCTTCGCTTCCCCTCTACGGATTTCTAACTCGTGCCCTGTGACAGAGTGCTGGTAAAAGGTGTGTGTAAGCTCTAACCTAGCCTCCTATTTATAGTAGTTACAATACAATAAGGGGGTTTCTAGTAATTTTCCTCCAAAAGTCGGCAAAACCTTCCTTGTACAACTTGAACTTAGATTCCTTCAACTTGTGGAGTACGTAGCTTGTAAAGGAAGTTTATAGAGGTCTTGGGCCCGAATGGAGGTAGGGCGATGGTAGTACCTGTGGCTGGATTTTCTTCTCCAAATTTGCCCATTTTTTGTGGGCATCTTCCTATTGGGCTCATTTGGTTGCTCCTCAAATTTGAGCCCATTTGGACTTTGTTTGACCCCATGAGCTTGTATCATCGACTTCCTCTAATTCATTGGGTCCCTTAGTGATCCATATTCGTCTTGAGTGCATTATCTCAATGAAAAGCATAAACCAACACCAAAAGGCGTAAAATAGTACAAAAACACACTCAAGGTCTATTATAAACTCATAAATCAAGTAGTTATGAATTTCATATAAAATATAATCAAAACCACTAAAGATGCATTAATAGAAGGGGGAAATGTATCAAATATGAGAGTGATAAACTCTATAACTAGAGAGTCTTTGATAGAAACCCTGTTGATCTAAGGCGTTTAAGATATTGATATGAATGACATGAACTGATGATAAGAATATATGACATGAAAAATTGTCGCTCCAAAAGATATCAAAATGTACCTATAATAAATATGCGCTATGATCCGTTGAATTATCGTAAAAGATTTGAAAAGTGCATAGAAATTCGCGCCAACCCACCACAAAATCTGGCCAGAACTCCTTTTTTCCATGGTCCATGAAACCGTACCGTACCGGCGGTTCAACCACAAAATACCAGTAGTAGAGGCTAAATCGATAGGCGGTATTTAACGGTATCACGGTTGAACTACGGAACCACGATTTTACCATAAAATACTCTACCATTGACTTTCCCGGTACAGTGTCCGGTACGGTTTCATGAACCATGCTTTTTTCCCTCCCTACCCTTAAATCTTCCATTCCCAAATTACAATGATTAGATATGATCTCCTAGTAGTACAAAACATTGAAATTTTGTACAATAACCCAAACCATAAAATATACTCATTTAAACATGAAATCAATCTATTAACACATATGCATCAATATAATACATCAATAATTAACGCAAACACCAAACCACAAAACATTGAAATTTTGTACAATAACCCAAACCATAAAATATACTCATTTAAACATGAAATCAATCTATTAACACAAATGCATCAATATAATACATCAATAATTAACGCAAACACCAAACCACCCCTAATACTGTAATACACACACTCCTCCTTGTATTAATAATTTAGCCACCACATTGGTGACCCCATCAAACAAAAAAAAGCAAACACCAAACAAACACAAAATCAAACACACACATTACGCTAAAACAACAAATTCAAAATTTCAAAACACTACCCGTCGAAATCAGTTTTGGTCCACTTTCCGTACTTGCCCTGCTGCAACTTCTCGTCCAACTCCACAACCTTCACCTCCTCCAATTCCGCCGCCGATTCCTCCTCCTGCACCACCCTCGCCATCCGCCGCCGTCTACTACTCCGCTTCCTCGCCGTCGCGTCGCGCTCGGCCTCGAGCCCTGCGTACTCCCTCACCCAGCAGTGGTGCACCGCACATCCCAGCACCAGCACGGCGGCCTGGACCACCGCCATCGCCACCATCACCCCGCACTCCAGCCTCACCAGCAGCTTCGCCTCCCTGGGGTCGTTCCTCGCGGGCCGCAGCAGCTCGAGGCTCGATTCCTCCTTGGAGAAGAGCGCCAGCACGGAGAGGACCTGGGCGGAGAGGGAGGCCAGGAGGAGGGACAAGTGGGTGACGAAGCAGAGGTGGTTGAGCTGGGAGTAGAACCCGACGAGCGAGGAGAGGACGGTGATGCCCGAGACGGCGAGGAAGGCCATCCCCATGGAGGTCGGCGGGGTTCGGAGGAGGATGACCGGCGGGATGGAGGCTGCGGCGAGGAGGAGGAGGGTGAAGTTGAGGACGGAGAGGAGGAGGTTCGGGGTGGAGAATGGGCTCCGGAGCTTCGTGGTCGAGCTGGAAACGGAGGAGGAGGAGGAGGCTGCTGCCATGGTGCTTGATGTTTTTGCTGCTGAGAGTTGAGAGTTTGGTGTTTGAAGATGAGCGGTGCAGGGGGAGATTTTGGTCGGATTTATAAGACGAAGCAGAGGAAAGAAGAAAGTGGCCGTTGTGGGGAGAAATGAAATGAGATACAACGGCTAATTGATAAAGGATGGAGAGAACATTTGAACTACACTGGGCAGCAGTCTGCCACTTTATTCCAAAGATTTCATTCTCTTTTATTGTCGTTGGTTTGAGCGTCCCCTGTTTTATACAGGGTGCGAATTATTTTCAAATTTGTCACCGCTTCCATCCAACGACGGTAAATCGTAAAAACCTGAAACAATTTGAGTTTAGGAGGCATCAAAAGTTCAAAACTTACTTTACTAACTAGTATTCCTACGAAAGTTTGATTCTTTTCAGCTGGGACAGAGGGAATCACAAATCAGGAAACCATTTGTCGCACCTTTATCCTACTCCTAGTAAAAACAGATCCTACTCCTAATGATACAAAGTACAGTCATTCCATATTCCAGATAATCAGGATGGCGCCTTGCAGCTTCATGTACCCAAGGAGTGCAAATGGAACTTACAGCAGCCTTGCGATCGAGTGGTGGTACGTTTCTGAGTCCTGGTGACTCCCAGGGAAGTACAATTACGTTGTCTGGGTTATAATCGTCTCGATCCTGTCCAATGATGCATCCAGTCGTCCGGTCTTCATGTTGAACAGCGACTCGTCCTTACCTAATGCCCTGTTCGACCCAAGTTTTCACCCGTCAATTATGCGAATACTTGTAGCTTGTTCACAAGAAAAAGGAAGAGCAAGCAACATTTGCAGCTTGTAGACCAGCATACACCGCATCTGCTAACCAGAACTATTTTTGCTGCATATAATCGGACAACAAACTGAAGAAGCAGAGTGGAGTAGAGAACCGTACAACAACAACAAGCCAAGTTACGCCCTTAATCTACCATCTAGATGGGACATGACAAGAAGAACAAGGGAGAATTTACCCGGTAACTTCAGGGAGAACAAAATCTGCTCGCCACCCAAACCTGAAATCTAGGCCAGGGCACAAACCGAGTGTCGTCTTGTTACGGATTCGGGATATACCATCACCACCCAGGCATGTGTTAAGCTTCCACTGCCATGCAAGTGCATTCATCTTGAAACTATGGCCTATGCCAACCTGTAACTTTTAAGAGTTTAACAACTCCTATAAAGTAGTAGAGATCTGGAAAAAGAACCACTCGCAGCAAAAGCACTTCCCATATACAACTATTGCTTGCATCAAATCCAAAAATCAGAGTGAAGGAATATGAATCTTACAAAACCTGTACGTTTAGAAATTTGGTCAGAGGAATCTTTTTGGACTGGATGCGGATTTCCTGACGGATAGGCTCGCATATAAACTTCCATTTTCGCTCTGATGACAATGGCTTCAGAACAAGCTTAGTCTGGACATCGTTGATGGGAGCATTGTAGAACTGAGTAACAAAAAGAAAGGAAGAGTCGACAATTAGTTAATCCATAAAGGAGAATAGGCATTGAAACAATGCACAACTACACAAGAGGTGAGGTCTGTGGTGTATTATTTCATCAAATCCACATATATTGACCTGCAAATATAAACATGACTTACAAAGGGTTCAACATTAACATTTCATAAAGGCTGACATAAGCTAAATCATACGACTTATCACGCTCCTTACAGAAGCAACCACGAATTATCCTCTCCCTAAAAGTCTTAAGATGGATAGATTTTAGAGGGTTCCAAGTTCCAACAGTGGACGGTCTGCTTTAAGAAGTCAAAATCATCCATAGGATTGTATTTTACAATTTTTCATACTGATTGTGATCTCCTTCGGATTCATTTCATTCAACTTCAATGAGAAGTAGCATCCGAGTCTCTTCTTAACTACTAAAAGTGAAAACACCAAACAACTTAAAGTGAAGTAGTAGGTAGATTCCTTCTTTTTTTCTCCAAGATACAGATATCAATGAAGTATACAAAGGAAACTTTACAAAACAATACCATCTTTTATGTATCACACCCCCATATCTAATTTGAGCCATTGGACAATACTACTCACACAAAGGAACCCCATTTACTACAGTGAGATCTCCAAAGTTTGAGGCTTCTTAGACATCCATAAGCCTACTGCTCGACACTTCATTCCATGAATGTATGTAGTCAAACTTCCACAAGTGAGCTACTGGGTAAGATTCTGGGTTAGGAAAGCACCAACAACATTAAGTATTTTCGAAAATTTGCTCCCAATTTCAGTTCACTTACAGGACAGTAGATTGACAAACCTAAGCCAAATTCTAAAGTACCAAGATGAACCCAGTATTAATTCTAGGTCACAACGGACGCAAACGTGAAAATTGAAGGGGGTAGATTAGAAGGAAGGGCATACCTCCAGATTGACACCGATACGAATCCCTTCAATTTCCTTTCTGAACTTGAAAAACAACTCTGAAGGAACCAAATTGATATTGCAGAGCTCATCCCACGATGCCGGTTCGTCCTGGCTTGGCTGACCGGGCTCCATCATTCTTCAACTGCTTCTTCTAGTTTATCTAAGAGCTACAACCCCCCACCTAGTGAGAAAGAGCAATCGAACTCGATTCAGCAGAACCCAATAGTCTTACCCAATTAATGAAATTGCATCATCAGATTACGAGAACCCTAAACAATTCATATTTAACCGATAATCTGCAGTCGGCGCTGGGAAGTTACACGAGAGGGCAGTGAATTCTGCAGGCAGAAGTAGGCACTAGGAAGTTATCCTTCCGCTTTCTTTTCTTTCCGTCTTTCCGCTTCCTGAGCTTATTTAGTTATTACCCTTGTTATAAGAACCGAACCGGATCAACGGCCGGGCCAGTAGAACCGTCAAACCAGTTACGATAGCGGTCCGGTTCATTGTTTGAACGGTTATTGATGGACCAAACGGTTTTTCACGGTTCAACATAAAATCAGATTAACCGACACGGTTTAGCTAGTCCATTGGTTCACTATTTTAACAAAAAAAAAAATATATTTTAACATAAACTAAGACCATCAAATCATAATTATTAATTTTATCTATGCTTCCTCAACTTTATTGTCGATTTTACATTGTCTACTACCAACTAGAACCGTAATTTTTAATTTGAATTAAAAAATGTGGTTTCTTTTGTGAGATGGTTGGAATGATTTATTAGACATTTTCGTGATGATATGAATTTGAACTTGTTTATGGTCAATGATAATTTCATTCTTAAATTAGTGTAATATACAAGTCTTATATGTTATATATCATTAACGGTTCTATCAACGGTTCACCAACGGTTTTGTAACGGTTAACCGGTGAACCCTTAAACCACTAATTTTACCGGTTCAGCCTCCGGTCCGGTTCTGAAAACAGAGGTTATTACTTTTAACTCTTTTTTTTTTCCCAACACAAAGATAACATATTGTGGAACTCGCTTACATCGTCTAAATATTTATATTTGAATTCAGCTAATAACATAACAAACCAAATGACAAATGCTCATATTTGAATACAAGATTTTTAATTAAATTCACCAAACTCATATCATTTTGTTTAGGAGCCGGAAATTTATCATAACGATCGTACATCGATTTTCCCGTATTGACCAATTTTGACTACCACTTTATACAGAGAATACTATAGGTAATTTGTGTCTAGTAACGATTGTAGCGGCCCGCTAGCCTTCTCGCCTCTCGCCTACCTCCTTGCTTCGCCCAATTAATCTCGATGATTCGAAGATGCTAGTAGCTCTTATTTGTGAATTCATCGTGTGTCCATAGTTATGAAGTTTGGCTCTTGCTTGCCATTCTCTAGGATCCACTAAAGACATATGTTCCAACTAGGTGAGGTTTGGAGACCAGTTTATGGTTCTCTTATTTTTGTCCTGCTCCAATCTTCCATCTGGGTTGTTAAGTTTGAGCAGTTCGTCTCATCTATCATTTGAATTAGTTCTCAATCCGATGTCATGTTTTGGCGGCGGTTGGCTTGTGTTGAACATATGTGGTTCTTCTTCGGGTTTTGTTTTGTGTTTGTGGGTTGTTTGTGTAGTTTTGAACATATGCATTGAGCTTGATGGGTGGGCTTTTTCCTCTCTTTTTTTTGTTTTGTATGTAAAGTTAAATTAAAAAATGACAAGTTAAATTAAAAAAAAAATGTCTTGCAAAAATCAAAGAAGTGTTTGTTAATGTTTTGTGGTGACACTATCACCGATCCGACTTCCTTAAACACATAAAATGAAAATGATTGAAGAGTTCAATCATGACAAATAAGTTCGAAAATTTACGATTATTATTAAAACTCGAATTAGGCTGGCTTGGATCAAAGCCACAGAATAAGGTGCATTTATATATACTCAGGTGGTCATCTCCTTTAACTAAGTAGAGATGTTGCAGACATCCCCCAAGTCATTACACACCAAATTACTGCAACCCAATAGATACCAACCATCCCAATTACTCATTAACTCCAACTTTTCCTAATAATTCACCACAAAGCCCCCCAATTATTATCTTATTACCCATCATTATTAGTTGGGCGGTGCAGGGGCTCCTCCTCCTCCTCCTTAAGAGGGCTTGGGGTTGTGCTTGGGGATAAACTTCCTAACCCAAACATGCTTGCCGTTGATGCTGAATTTGGCCATGTGCATCCCCTTGAGCACCATCTCCACGGTGGCCGCCGAGCGAAAGACGATCTTAGCATACAGAGACTGCTTGGGCGGGGCTGCCTCGTGCATACGCACGGACTCGATGCAGTTGGCCCCGAAGGTCTTGCTCAGAAACTCCCTCAGCTCCCTTTCCAGAACCGGGTATCCTTTCGAGAACGTCGCGAACATGGTCCTATCGTCCCCCTCGTTCCCCAACCCCTCGTCCTTGGGTGGGTTGGTAGAGGATGACGCTTTTGAAGGCATCTGCATGGCAGCAAAAGCAGCTGTGGCGGCGGCGACAGTGGCAGCCTTTGCAGTCTGTTCGATGACCTTTTGCATGATGTCGCTAAGGGCACGCACGCAGACGGTGTTGTACACTTTAGCTATCTTCCTCTTCGCTTCGAAGCGGTTGTCGAAGAAGTACGGAAGGGAGACGTAGTCTTGGTCCAGGACGGCGACCGTCAACGGGATGACTTCGATGTTGTTCGGTGGAGGGATGAAAACGTCGGAGTTGATGCAGCTGAGGCACAAGGTGGCTTCCTCGGCGAGATCATTGATGAGAGCCCATGGCAGGGAAAGGATGTTGTAAACGACGTCACATGGGCAGAGCCGCTCCAGCCATAGCCAAAATGCCATGATTTGCATGCACTCCATTGGGTCGCGGCACAGTGCGATGCTCAGGACGACATAGAGGTCGCGGTCGATGCAATGGAAGGTGTTGAATTCTTCTTGCGTCGTCGTCACTACTCCCGCCATTGAATCGACTACAAAAAAATATCTACTGTGAGAAAATTAAGGAATTATATCGACGACGATGAATAAATCAATTGAATCGATGATTCTTTTAACGTGTTCATTGAAGATTAAAGGAAATAAGGCGATATTTCATTGCACGTGTTAGATATTCGTTATAATATGGCGCGCGGAAGCTAAATTGTTTGAATTGCATTGTGAATTAGCAAAATGGAATAATATCGTTTTTTGTAAAATGAAAAACTCTTTGTGAATAATATAATTTTGATGAAAGAGCATATTTGATTTATATTCATTGGAATTTCTAATGAGAATATGCACTTTAAAGGTGTTGAATTGGAAAATAAAATCAATTGGATCGATTCTGTGAACAACTTCAAAGATAATTTCACACGTCAGACAACCGTTATAATATGCCGCAGATGAATTGTTTGAAGTGAAGTGCCAAATCAGCAAAAGACCATACTATGATTTCTAAAGAATGAATAACTCATGCATAGTAAGAGACATCTCTTGATGGAAAAGAGTGTATTTGGTTCAAATTCATATCATACCTTTTCAGGTTCTGAGCAATAGTAATGAAAATTCGCAGATTTCAATGTGAGTTGGATTATTTGATGAAGTACTATTATCTTTTATAGCGAGGTGTTTACAATAAGTTTCCTTATGTTGAGATTGAGTCACATTAAGTGAAATTAATGATCATTGTACCTATTGGTCATTCACCAAGTTTTTATAAGTAATATTAGTTGAATATCATTATGAAATTTCCTATTTAACATATAGAATTTATTATATGTATATAAGGAAAAGTCATTATGCTCTGGATAACTTTTGACATTGCCAACAACTCATACTAAGATATTTTTTTTTCTATTCAATTTCTTTCCATTTCAAAATAAAACGCAGATTTTTGAACAACAATTTTAGTCAAGTGAATTATTGAGAGAGTTTAACTTTGAATTCGGAGTATCCCTTTTCACAGAATCATAAAGACTGTCTTTTTGTTAACTGAACCCGTTAATATCCGATAGTAAGATAGAATCGATGCAAAAATAAGTATGTTGTCTTAAAGACGTTGATAGACAACTTAAACTGGATGACGCAGCCTTTGTTTTCTCTTTAGTTGCTTTTATTGTCAATATATATAGTGCTCGTGTTCTTTCTTCATTGATTAGTTGGCTAGTCTGTCCTATATCAAAACGATTAGGTTTTCAGGTCGTTATTTGTTATATATAAAGCAAGGATTATTGTTCCATCTCTCCCATTCATTATTCATCAATGCAAAATGAAAGACGAGGAACATATTTCCTTATGGTCGTGATACATATAGTCAATCTTTAGTTCAGTTCAGTGAACTTTGCATAGAATACTTCGAAAAAGCATTGAAGTCAGATTTGTTCACCATACCTAAACATGAGCCTAGGCATTCACAATCCAAGATTTCTAAATCTATTAATCAAGTATAGGTCTAATACATTTCAAATGATCATTTATATGAAAAACAAAATATACTTGACTCTTGACTTGCTAACCGCTAAATAATCGAAAATATTTTTTAACCACTAAAAATTGGCAATATGCCACACTCAATGAAGGAAACAATCATTATCCCTCCTCGTCTTCTTTGCTCAAATGAAGAATGTAAGACGGTCAAAAGATTTTGTGCCGCGAACCACGAATCGCTTGTCCTCATGCTAAGGAATTTCTCTGGTGGCTTCCACATCATATCAACTGGAGGATAATCGAGAGAGAGAAGCGATGATGGCCGGCCTCGATATTTTTGCGGCCCTCAGCCCTCCTCTGATTACTTGGACAGAGAAGAGGTGGCGGCTAGGATACGAATTTTCGAGAGTGAAGGACTTAAGGAGAATAAGAGTTGTGTTTTTTTCTATTCATTTCATTGGTTCAAAGAAGGAGTGGATTTGTTTTTTGGTTGGTAGAGGAAAAAAAGAGGTGAGAAGACGAGAGTGAAGAGAAGAAGGGAACGAGTGGCTTGAATTTTGTTGCCATCACTTTATTTTTACACATTCTCTATAAAGATAACTATGCCCTTGCCTTTTGCCAAATCAGGAAACTTATCACCATTCTCTATTTGTTGTGGGTAGGAAGTTAACCGCTAAACCCACTTGATGAGATTCGAAAGACTAAGTATGGAGACCAAGCCGACATGGGTGGCTTGGTAATAGGGACCGACATGACTGGCTTATAGCAGGAGGTATCAAGTTGTAGAGACTACAAGGTGTCAAGTTTGTTACATGGGCTTTGTGGTAAGGTGGCGGAGCCAAAATTCAAAAGTACCAGTGTCCTCTTCTCAAAATATAAACATAAATAATTATATAATAAATATAATTAAAATTGACGATATGAAATTTGTTCATTAG